TAGCCGCAATAGCGCCCGCGACGGCCGCAATCACGGTAAATCCGAAATAACCGAAAATGCGACCGCGATTTGAAACCCTGATAGGGTCATCTCCGTGTTAAGATCACCGGGAAACATGTACAATTATAGCAGCATATGCTGTGTTTCGACATGTACAATTATAGCAGCATATGCTGTGTTTCGTGATGATAAAAGGATCAATGCACGGTACTATTGAAAAAGAGAACGGTGTACGTAAGTCCGTACAAGGAGAGGGACGTAGTAGGAGAAAGAAAGGTGCAGTGGCCAACCGGAGAATCCATAGCCATTCGTAAAGGTTTTCGATTTGGATTTTCTGGAAAAGGAAAGAAAATGGAAAAACACAACAGAAGAACCCCACAGTTCGGTCGGAGTTGGAGGTGGTTGGCCCGACAAAAGCTGCACCACTTCACATGGCTTGGGGTGTGCCCCTTGGTTGCTTGCCTGCCTTGCCTTTCCATGTTCTTATTACAAGCCATATATATTATTGTAATTATTGTGGTATAGTCTAAAGAGATCCAGAGAGATCAATTTGACCACAAAATGGGAAAAAATGAGCCAAAAACACTTGAATATCCTCTCCTTTCACTCAAAAGCCGAGATGCCATTCTCTTTAGAAATATACATGCGAATATATGAAGGATAAGGGTATGATTTCGATGGTATACTTTACTAGGTAGATAAGCACAAGTCTTTTATTTGTTTATTTCTTTTTATTGGGAAGAATATCGTTTCCTTTAGCTATTTTCATTTAAAGCTAAGAAGCTTTCTTTCACATGCCAACTATATCACATCCAAGTTAAAAGCTAGCCGCTCAGCATTCAATACTTTATTGTAGTGTTTGATACAAAATTTTGTTTGATTATATTTTAAAATTTTATTTGATAAAAAAATTATTCACGAAAAAAAAATCAAGATCGATAAATAGTGTACAGTCCATTTAACATATTACAATATTATTTTAGAGTTGTCATTGTTCGTTCAATTATAAATATAAACTTAGTGGATGGTTTTATTTGTATTGTGATATATTTAGAGTTTGATGTGCATCTCTTGTGATCTCTCTTATATTTCATGATCGACGTAGTAAAATTTAAAAGTTAGTCGATTTGATCATTCAATACCTTACGAAATATTTAAATAAAAAAGTGTTAAAAGTTATGATCTAAATTTCATTTGGTTCGAATTTAAAAAGTTATAATATAAATAAAAATAAATATAAAGATCGAGGATAAAAAAATATATTATAATATTATTTGTTATGCATCTCATATGAACTCTATTATATTTCATCCCCGATATGATAAAAAAAATTCTCTTCTATTAATGATTTTTTATTAATTTTTTGTTTGTCTATTTATTTATGTCTTCTTATTATTTTGCAATCAAACTTATTATAATTCACTAAAAAAAACAACGATGGAGCTAAAATACACCACATCTTATAAATATCTCAAGCCTTATATTATTATTTATTTTTTAAGGGTTGTCTGGTTCAAGGATTATGGGATTCTCATGGGAATGAAATCCACATTCCCATGTTTGGTTGGCTGAAAATCTGGACATACTTTAGGGATATATTTAGTAATTAACCCATATGTTTACTTTAGATTTAATTTATTAGTATATAAAAAAAAACTTCCCCATCATGGATGCTCAAAATAAGGATCTTCCCTTGTCTAGATTAATTGTAAAAGCACTGCAACTGCTTCGTTGAGTATTAAACAAATACTCTGTTTATTATTATTATTATTGCTAAAATAATAATTAATTATGTAAAATTTTTAGCTTTAATTGATGTATAATGATAGATGTCCGAAGAAGGAATCAACAAAGCAAACTCCGTGACATGTGAAGATCTCCTGCTTTTGCGGCTAGTGGGCATTTGTCGTCTGTATATACATTATTAATATTATTATAATTTAATAATAATTAAAGAAAAGCACTTTCCTTTTACATATAATATTCTATTTTCATATAACGATTAAACCATTTTTCTTCAAAATTCAGGTATAAATAATATTTAAAGTTATCACTTTTGACCACTCGAGCTTAATTAATTAGTTATTTAACCATTTAAACTTAAACTTTAACCTCGTAATAAGGTACCTAATACTTAATGAAGACTTAAAATCCACGTGTCGCACCAGGTACTCTCTTCTAAGTTGAGATTTTATTATTTCTTTCATTTTCAAGAAACGAGCCACTTGCTCCATATAAAAATTAATTGTATCGTAATACCTAATAATACATAGTGATTTTTGCAATTAAATTTATGTATTCACTTTTTTAACAAGATCTAGGACTAATATGAAAAATAAAATAAGATCTAGGACTAATATGAAAAATAAAATAAGATCTAGGACTAATATGAAAAATAAGATTAATACACCTTTTCATTCCTCTTTTAGTATTTTTACATATCATAGTGATTTTTGCAATTAAATTTATGTATTCACTTTTTTAATTTTATGATTGATTATTTTTTATTATCTTTTCTAATTTTTAAATAATTTTTAAAATAAAATTATTGCAATATAATAATATTTATTTATTTTGTGATTCTCGGTCATGAGGAGATCATGATGATCATGATCCGAAAAAGAAAAAATCATGTAAATGATGCTTTTGAGATGGTGGGCCCAAACACCAAAAAAGAAGCCCAATCTACGGCGCTCAACAGTTTTCGGCTGGAGAGAGAGGTACCAAAGTGTTGTGCCACGTCATTGAGCATAAGAATATTTCCGTGCTTGGCACACACTCGATTTTCAATCCCCCAACTAAAAAGAATAGTCTCTTTTTTATTTAAATAATACTCCTTTAATAATTAATTATGAATATAATATATTTTTTAAAAGTAATCACAGGTACGGCTGTAAATGAGACAAGACAGATCGCGAGATATTTGAGATCGACTCGATCAAGGCTCGATAAATACTCGGATCGAATGGACTCGACTCGAGCTCGACTCGAGTTCTTAACGAGCCAAAACGAGCTACTTGATATTCGACTCGAAAAGCTCGTGAGAAGCTCGAAAACATAATATATTAAGATTTTATTTTTTAAAAATAAATTATTAATAATATTAACATTTATGTATTGATTTTTTTTAAAAATACAGTAATATTTTCATGTATTTAAGGTTCAGATTCGAGTTTGAGTTTGATGCTTCAATTGAGTTAAGTTTAAGAATTTTCCCCATTCATTTCGAGCCTTTCCGAGCTGCTCACGAGCTTCAGTTCAGGATTTCGAGTTCGAGTCGAGTTTAAAAATTTTAAATTCACGAATTTTCGAGTCGAGTCGAGGCTCGTTTACACCCCTAATCACGTGTATATGATATATTAATAAAAACAGTCTTGACAATAATACATATTTATTGATGTGATAATAATTTCAGTCAGAATTTATATTTTGGTCTCGAACAATATGAATATCATAATTTTAATTGTATTAATTATCACGTTAATAAAATTATGTTCCATCAAACGTACCTTCTGGAAAATAATATTATTCATATAGAATTATCAAAATAATAATAATAAATTATTTTGTTAACGACGTCCTATTGTTACTATTGTTGTTATATTAAATATCGCTAACGATATTTTATTTATTTTTCTAACGTAATTACATATGATATGATAACATGAATATAATTATTAATCATTATAAATAATAGTCGATTAGGGGTCCTCATATGACAAAACCTTATATTATTCATAGTATATACGGAATTATATTAATTTCCTATTAATAATGTTTCCCAGACTAAATTTGATGCTTTGAGTTAAATGACAATAATTATATAAGAAGAAAAATACATAAGAAATAATACATAACGAATATGTATAGATTAAATCTTTATTCTCTCATGTTTATTTAGATTATGAGTTATAGACTCACTAAGAATATTTATTTTAGAGTCCTTATTTCCATTTTTTTAAGTAAGATTAGGATTAATTTTAAAATTTGTAAAAAAATTGAAAATTGAGAAATTTTTAGTAATTTTTTTTAAGTTTAATCCTTATTTTTATCTATATTAATATATAAAATTATTGAAAAAGTATGAGGTTATTATATAAATAAAATGTTACCAAGGACTAAATATTGTATTATCCCTTATTTTTAACTTCAAGTCCAAGGAGACAAAGCCATAACGCACGCCCACAACGCCGCACGCGCGCACCTCTCCAAGTCCTAAACGGCGAAAAGGATGCTACCAATATAAACTGTCAGCCTATTAGCAGCCTAATACCACGCGCGCGAATTCACACTGGCAACGATTAAAAATTTAATTCAAAAAGTAAAAGTTTTTCATTTTCTCAATTTGCTTTGTTGAATTTACGAAGGCCAGGTTGCTTCATGGTTCAGCCTCCATAATCTATTATGTGTCGGCATGTTTCACAAATTATATACATATAAACGGAAGGAAAAATTTAAAAAGAAAGCTGTTTCTTTTCTGCTCTGCTTTTGCTTTGGCTTTCGGTTCTCTGATTTCCCGGCGACAAGCGTGTTCCCTTCTCCTTGATCCTATAAAGTTCCTTTTTTTTTGTTTTTTCTCTTTAGAAAATGTTTCTAATTGTTGGACTCTAGAACCAAAGACGATGAGCTTCGACTGAGCCGAGGAGCAGTTTTAGAAACCTGTTTTTAATGTTCCATGCAGTTAGTTCTTCTTAACTGATTCAACTGTGGACTCTGGTTTATTCATTTGGAGTACCGAATGCTTCACGGGGTTGAAATAGCTGACAAATCCAAGCTTTTTACGAAGCTAACCAAAGAGAAAGCATAGCTCGGGAAAGGAAGACCGAGGTTTTTGCTTTCTAAGTTAGGGTTTCGGATTTCGCTGGGATTTGAATGTTAATGGGAGCTGCGGCTTTTCCTTAAGCGCGTCTGTAGTAGTTTTCCTACAAAGGATTGCTGCTTCAAAATGGATTATTTTTTGAAGCGTTGTGGTTTGATACTTTGAATAGCTAAAAGGGTTGTGAAGAAAGTTGATCTCTTCAGTTTTATGTTTGAGCAAACCAAGTGATTGGATTCCTTAAGAAAGTTTATTTATTTTTTAATTGATCCAAGATTTTAAGCATGAAGGCTCCAGCAAATGGATTCATGGCAAGTTCTGCAGAAGGTCTGATTTCTCTTATCTCATTCATTTTGTCTCCCTTTAACTCAGTTTCAATTTTTTTTGGGGGTAGTCAAAATAGTCTATGGGTTTTCCTTATATATTCGATCGTTTTCCTCTGTTAACCAGATCCCTCTAAGTTGTTTTTAAGTTTAGATAAACTATTACTTGGTATTGGTTTTGTTCTAATGCTCTATGTTTGTCTTGTAAAACGTCTCATCTTTTTTGAGAAATCTTATAAAACCCCATTTTCATAAAGAAGGAAACAAGCAAATAACAAGACTAAGAGCAAAGGATATGGTGATCAAGGATAAATTTTCCTCATTTTAATGGGTAGAAGGTTTGGGTTTGGGATCAATCATCCTTTGCAATTTGAAGGTGAATAAAGAAAGAAAACATGCATCAATATATAATATATATATATATATATATATATATATATGTCAAGTTCAAATATAAAGTGTTATATAAGAATATTCATGGTAACTTTTAATTGTGGATACCAGAAAATTGTGAGGTTTTTTTTGAGGCCTTAAAGTTAATTGCTGCCTTGTATATGGTTTGAATTTTGGAAGAATATGGATATTGAGAACTTTTTGCAAGTTGATGCTTTGTAATAATTTTAGAACTTCCTCTTTGTGTGTGTTTTTTTGGGATGTTCGATTAATATTCTGGTTGGTTTGTTGAGAGCAGCAGAAAGGAAGAGTATCAATTCAGAGTTATGGCATGCTTGTGCTGGACCACTTGTTTCTTTGCCTCCAGTTGGAAGTTTGGTCGTTTACTTTCCTCAAGGTCACAGCGAGCAAGTGAGTTGTTTTCCTCATTCATTTGTATGGAGTAATTTTTTCTCCTCGAATATGGTGTTTTATGGAATTTTCTCTAATTATGATATGTTTTTTCCCCAGGTTGCAGCATCAATGCAAAAGGAGACCGATTTCATTCCAAGCTATCCTAACCTTCCTTCCAAGTTGATTTGCTTGCTCCATAATGTAACATTGCATGTAAGCAAATGCACGGCACCATTAACCATTTTTCTTATATTTGGTCATGAAGGGGAAAAGGTTTTTCCTAAATGAGCTTTGTGCAGTATCAGCAACTTTGGATTGACACTCTCTCTTTCATATTTTAGACAATCTTTCTGTTTAATTCATTTGTTGGCATAGGTACTTGGTGCATCCATGTGCTATCTGGTTAGTTGTGGTTGTAGTGACTACTTCTAGGAAGTTATTGTTGGGTGCTGAGTCATATTGCAATCTGAATAGGATCTTTTATGGTATATCATATATGCATGACGATAACTTAGTAATGGTCAAAATGATGTATGGAAGGTAAGTTGTATTATTATATGAAGTTACTAATTGGTTAGATTATTTAAACTTTGAATCAGGCTGATTCAGAAACAGATGAGGTTTATGCCCAGATGACTCTTCAACCTGTGAACAAAGTAGGTCAGCTATTCAATTTGAGAATTAATTCATGGATATTGCAGAACTGCCTGTCTTACTTTTATTTCCCCTTCAATGAAATACGGTATGGATCCTTAAAGTATTTCTCTACAGTATGACAAAGAAGCGTTACTGGCATCTGATATGGCCCTCAAGCAAAGCAGACAACCCGCTGAATTCTTTTGCAAGACTCTTACAGCGAGTGACACTAGCACTCATGGTGGATTTTCTGTGCCTCGACGAGCAGCTGAGAAGATCTTCCCTCCTCTGGTGCTTAAAAACTTTAAAATTTAGCTTTCTATTATTAAGATTTGAGAGGTCTGATGGAAGCATTTTGTGTTCATTTTTCCTAAAATCTAAATGATATTTGGTAGGATTTCTCGATGCAACCACCTGTTCAGGAGCTAGTAGCTAAAGATTTACATGACAATACATGGACATTTAGACATATTTATCGAGGTATCTTTCTCTTCAAGATGTCATTGTCCTTCCGTTTTGACAACCAGAGGTCTACTGGTATTAAAACATAAGACTGCTGTTTGATCAAAGTGTTTTATGTTGCTAAGTAATCATTATTTTCATTTCTTTAGTGTTTCTTATTAACTTCCATGCCACTTCAAACTTTTTGGTGTAAGAAAATCATTTTCTTTTGGGAAGTAGTTGAGGTAGGGATACATTTATGGTAAAGATTCGATAGTTTCATAGTTCACTTAAAATTTGACTTAATATTTAGTAATGCTTTAGGGTGATACTAATAAGTCAGCGCATTTTGTTCTGAATATTGTGTTAGCTTACTTATTTAATGTTATCAGCATTAGAAACGGAATAGTATATCTAAATGATTAATGGCTTCTTTGCAGGACAACCAAAGAGACACCTTCTGACTACCGGTTGGAGTGTTTTTGTTAGCACGAAAAAACTCTTTGCTGGTGATTCCGTTCTTTTCATCAGGTATGATTCATATACATATATACCCACAAACTCACACACATGCACTAACACTTGTGCTGTTTGTATGTGTTCCATAGAATTTCAGTAGATTATTATCCATGTTGCTGCTTAACTGAAGTTCCTCGCTTAAATGTAGAGATGAGAAGTCTCAACTTCTCTTGGGTACAAGGCGTGCAAATAGACAACAGCCAGGTCTCTCTTCGTCTGTAATTTCTAGTGATAGCATGCATATTGGGATCCTTGCTGCTGCGGCTCATGCTGCGGCAAATAATAGCCCATTTACTATATTCTACAATCCAAGGTATTGATATAATACATTTGGTCGTATATAGATCCTTTTTTATTTTCTAATCATCAAAAAATGATATTCATTGAAGGTCTAAAAAGATTTTATTAATATCAACAGGGCAAGCCCTTCTGAGTTTGTGGTACCCTTAGCGAAGTATAACAAAGCTATGTATACCCAAGTTTCGCTTGGCATGCGATTTAGAATGATGTTTGAAACAGAGGAATCCGGGGTGCGCAGGTACATGGGTACTATTACTGGTATTGGTGACTTGGATCCCGTGAGATGGAAAAATTCACAGTGGCGTAATCTTCAGGTATTTTTACCGACATCCTGTATGCCATTATTAGCATTTCTTTTTTAATCCTAGAAGATGTTTAGCATGATATCTGTGGGAAGTGCATTATTAACGTGCAAACATTAAGTTACATCATGGTTTTGTCATTCACAATACATTGCTCTATCATGGTGATGAATATCTCAGCATATGTCCTTCCGGTCTTGTTATTTGATCGTGCAACTGTTTAAACTGATTCTGTCATTGATTCAAGATTATTTCCGTGTTGAATCATACATTCTGTTTTTAATAATACTTGCACTTATTTTAAAGTCAAGGTGTTGTTGCACAAGGAGAAAATACCACTTAATTTTTTTATTTTGGCTACTTTTTTATTCTCATCAGGTTGGATGGGATGAATCTACAGCTGGTGAGCGGCCCAGCCGAGTTTCAATTTGGGACATTGAGCCTGTCATAGCTCCTTTCTACATTTGTCCACCTCCGTTTTTCAGGCCCCAGTTCCACAAGCAACCCGGGATGCCAGGTAAATCATATTTGCCTTACATATTGTACTTTAAACATTGACAAATAATAGGAAAATTCAAGAACTTAGTTTTAATCTCTTAAGAGATTTTGCAGATGATGAGTCTGATATTGAGAATGCCTTCAAGAGAGCAATGCCCTGGCTTGGAGATGAATTTGGCATGAAAGATGCCCCTAGTTCAATATTCCCTGGTTTGAGTTTAGTTCAGTGGATGAGCATGCAACAGAATAATCAGTTTCCAGCTGCTCAATCAGCATTCTTTCCATCGATGGTTTCTTCAAATCCGCTCCATAATAGCCTTAGCACTGATGAACCTGCCAAATTATTGAATTTCCAATCTCCTGGGTTACCTGCGTCGAATGTGCAATTTAACAAAGCAAATACAAACCAAGTCAATCAGCTGCCTCAGACACCTATTACATGGGCTCAACAGCAGCAACTTCAGCAGTTATTGCAGACTCCTTTAAATCAACAGCAGCAACTTCAGCAGTTATTGCAGACTCCTTTAAATCAACAGCAGCAGCAATCCCTACAGCAATTGCAGCGACATCAACAACAACAGCAGCAGCAGCAGCTTCAGCCTCAGCCACATCTTCTGAACCAACAGCAGCCTCAGCCTCAACCTCAGACTCAGCCGCAGCCACTGCAGCAGCAACAAAAAAGACAACAGACGCTACCACAACAACAGATGCAACAGCAGGCATTCCTTCCTTCTCAAGTAAATAACGGAATCGTTGCCTCTACCCAGTTCCCAAATCAAAATTTGCATCAGCCGGCTGTTTACTCGCAGCTTCAACAGCAACAATTGCTGACAAGCAATAGCCAGTCTGCTCAAACTATCCTCTCTGCCAATAAAACTTCATATCCTTTGACGTCATTACCACAAGATACACAGATTCAGCAACAGATGGAACAGCAAACTAACCTCATACAGAGACAACAACAACAATTGCTGCAACAGAACTTGTCGCAGAGTACACAGCAGCAATCACCACTACAATTGTTGCAACAGAACTTGTCGCAAAGTACACAGCAGCAGCCACAGATGCTGCAATTGCCTCAGCAGGGCTTCTCGGAGCAACAGCTTCAATTACAACTGTTACAGAAATTGCAGCAACAGAAACAGCATCAATCATCTCAACAGTTACTCTCCCCTGCTGGACCACTGTTGCAGCAACAGCCAACCCATCAACAAAACCAACCATTGCAGCAATTGCCTCTTTCACAGAGCCAATCACAACCTCTTGGCAGCAATGGCTTCTCGACATCAATGCTTGTCCAGCCTCAACAACTTTCACTGAACCAACTTCAAGTTCATAACAAGCCTCTTACTATTATGAGAACCCATTCTGGTCTTACTGATGGAGATGCACCTTCATGTTCAACCTCTCCTTCTACCAATAATTGTCAGGTTTCCCCATTGAACTTCCTAAACAAAAACCAGCAAGTACCGTCCATGTTGGCGACAGATCCACTTGTTGAGCCTGCAAGTACCCTCGTTCAAGAGCTACAGAGCAAGCCTGATATAAGAATCAAACATGAACTACCCACCTCTAGAGGGCCAGAACTGCCAAAGTACAAAAGTACCGTGACAGATCAACCAGAAGCATCCTCTTCTGGAACATCATACTGTCTGGATGCAGGAACAACCCATCATAATTTCTCCCTCCCTGCCTTTCTGGAAGGTGATGTTCAATCACATCATCGGAACAATCTTCCTTTTACAGCTAATATTGATGGGTTGGCACCTGACACTTTATTATCGAGGGGATACGACTCTCAGAAGGATCTTCAAAATCTGCTTTCCAGCTATGGTGGCAACCCAAGAGATATTGATGCAGAGTTGTCTACTCCTGCAATAAGCTCCCAGTCGTTTGGTGTGCCAAACATACCTTTCAAGACTGGGTGCTCTAATGATGTTGCCATCAATGACACAGGAGTCCTAAATGGCGGATTGTGGGCCAACCAAACTCAACGCATGCGAACATATACAAAGGTATGTAACCGTAACCCCACTATGATTAAGCATGTTACCTCATTTATTCTAGATACAAATCTGACATCTTGAAAGAAAGGGTGGATATTTTACACTCCCTATTTTTTGAAACTCGGTAGTAGAAAAATTCATATTCCGTTACGGTTGGATTTTTTGCATCTCATAGTACGAGAGTTCCTGAGCTCAAAATATGAGTTGAAGTTAAAAAAATAAAGTAGATTTCCTGTTGCAATTACAAGTTCCCCTGTCAATTTTTTTTCGTGCAGTATTATTTTGCACCTTGTCTAAATCTACTAATAGGCCACTTTTTTGGTTCCATTTATTAAATCCTTCCCTCATTATAACATGGTCGATTTTGTGCGTCTGTCTTTTGCTGAAAACTCTAATGTATGGTACTGGTTTGAAATAAATGCAGGTGCAAAAGCGTGGCTCTGTAGGAAGATCAATTGATGTATCCCGCTACAAAGGGTACGATGAACTCAGGCATGATTTAGCGCGCATGTTTGGTATCGAGGGGCAGCTGGAAGATCCACAAAGTTCTGACTGGAAATTAGTTTATGTGGATCATGAAAATGACATATTACTTGTTGGTGATGATCCTTGGGAGTAAGTGAAGAACCCCGATTTGAACTCTTTTTAACTTTTAATTTCGGTATCTATTCATCCTTAACTGAATTTCTACTCTCTTTGCAGAGAATTTGTAAGTTGTGTTCAGAGCATAAAGATACTGTCATCTGCTGAAGTACAGCAGATGAGCTTGGATGGTGATCTTGGAAATGTAGCAGTTCCCAATCAAGCTTGCAGTGGGACTGACAGCGGAAATGTGTGGAGAGGACCATACGACGATACCTCAGCTGCTTCATATAACAGATAAGATGGTTTTGAAATTCAGATAGAACAGCAATTTGATAACACATAATCATCTGTTGGCAGGAGGATGATGTTTTAATTAACTTTAACAGCAACTCTCTGACTTGGCCTTTGTATGGTGCCATAAGGGACCATTGATGTACAACCATTATATTGATAGAGCTAATCTGATATTCTTCTTATCACCTGTAAATGGCTATGATGTAAGAGCACATTCTGTCTTGTTCAAGTAGCATGAATTTTTGTCGGTGTTGCACGTTGCCACTGATGCTTTCTTTGACCTGTGTTCGGCTATGATTAGTGATGAAACACGATATGGTTCGATACACGAAGGGGCAAAACTAAATAGGGTTGTGTGTCATGTTCCTTGCCGTTTGGAGTTGATTGAAAACAGTAAACTGAATTATGATAAACATAGAGCCGGACTTGTTTTATTGTTCACTCACACGGTGGCTAAATTGATTGATAAGTTGAACAACCTCTCGTGAGGCAAAGCCAAGGTACAGATTTAGAGATCATGCATGACGTAAAGCATAAGCACGTGTGTCGGATGCTATGTAATGGTCCTAATGGGCGCTTTTGTCTCTTTACGTTGGATGAGAAAATTATTCATATAATTTTCTCGAAAATCTCTCTATTTTTATTACATTTTTCCTTTCAAATTCAATTAATATATATATATATATATATGTCATGTTTTAAGCGTGTAACGTGATTTTTTAATGGACTATAATGCTTTTTATTATATATGCCATGAACTCACAAAAAAAGTCATCAATCTCCACTAACAATTACTTTATGTATGAGACTATAACCCCAAGACGATAATTTTCTTTCTTTTTTCTATATGAAATAAAGATTTTTCCTTCATTGTTCATGACTCTCTTCTCCTGACATTAAAACATGCATTTCCTCGAAACTCCCATCATAACTACAAAATTCAATTGTTCATCATAATCAATGATTCTATGTTCAAAAATTAAAAAAAAAAAACCACCAGCAATTTTCACAACTATTATCTCTTCAACTACACATTAACATAATTTAATTAATAAAAGTAAAATAAAGGTGTGTATATCTTTTTGATTTATATACTCAAATCATCATTTTCTTTTTCTTTTAGAAAAGATTTCATCCAATTGGAGCATATAAAATTAATTTTGTGGTCGAGTGAAGAGAGCAGTGCATGCATGTGGTGTAGCAACATGTTTATATGGTTTTTAAAATCCCCCAACAAACAAGTCTCTGCCTTTTCCTTTACTAATTTATTTATTTAAAAATAAAAAAAAAATAGTTCACTAGTAGCTCTAGACGTGGAATTTATGCACGTGAAATAAAAAGGACCACGTGTTGGAAATTTCACCTGGGCGAACGCGTAGCGACGCTAAAAAGGCCTTCAACAAGGCGCCACGTTGGCATGGTTAAACGCTTTTCGGCCGCCAAACGCTATATCAAACGCGTCTCTTTGTCTTTGACTGCTTACTCTCGGTCAGAAACCATGGGTTCCCCCATGTAGCTATAAATAAGCCGCAAATTCTCTCTAATTTATCAGTCTACAAACAACAAGGATATTCAAATCATCTGCATTCTGCAGCGAGGAATCAAAAACAAAAAAAAACAACAAAACTCAGACTATCACTTAGTACTCTGATTCAAAGGAGGAAAAACAATGGTGAAACACATAAGCGAAAAGCCTGCAGCCGAGAGAACGGATTCGAAGTTCAAGGGTGTTCGCAAGCGGAAATGGGGGAAATGGGTATCGGAAATCAGACTGCCAAACAGCAGGGAAAGGATTTGGTTGGGATCTTACGACTCAGCCGAGAAAGCAGCCCGTGCTTTCGACGCCGCTCTTTTTTGTTTACGCGGCCGTTCTGCTAAATTCAATTTCCCCGATAACCCGCCCGAGATAGCCGGCGGCAGGTCTTTGACACGGACCCAAATCCAAGCCGCCGCGGCCCGTTTCGCTAAATCAGAGCCTCCAATGTCCCAATCGGAGGAATCCAACTCCGGGTTTCAAACGGAATCTTCATCACCGTCGGTTTCGGACGGGACAACACAGTTCGACATTGAATTGCCTATGGATGAGTCGTTTCTGGATCTTTTGACAACCGGAACGGGCAATTACGGATCGGATTATGGGTTGATATTCCCTGAATTTGATGATTTCTCAAGTGATTTTCTCAGATCATCGTTGCCCAACATCGGGTTTGAAGAGGAGAATTTTGATGGGATATTAGTTCCAGAATCTTTTCTTTGGAATTTCTGAAAACGGGTCGACCTGGGCATTTTAGTATCCAGAGTTGGATCCGGATATTTGGCGGGCCAAATTTTTGCACAGAAGAGCCTTTTTGCTCATCAAATTATTACTAGAAATATATTTCAATCCTTGAGACGAATGTCAATTAAAGCTTATATATATATATATATATATATTATTTTCCTAATTTTTTAGCAATTACTATATTATTATATGATTAATATTTAACTTGAATTTTTTAAAATTAATATATTTATTATGCATATAATTTTTCAATTCACTTCAATGTTTATATAATGTCAATTCGAAGTAATATATTTAAAATACAGAAAAAAATTAATATATTTAATATCTGTTATAGTATTCTTTTTATTACTGAGCAATTAAAATACTCACATTTTTTAAGAAAATAAAATCCGGAAATATTATTGATATTAATATCTCCTTCTGAATAAAAATAAATAAATAAATAAAAATTCTTGCACCTTACAAGGAAAATTAACTTTAAAAAATCCAGCTGGAAATGTTGTGCCCATAACAAAACTTGTTAAGAATACAAGAAAATAGATTTCCGGATATACCATGCATGCATGCACCGCTCATATCATGCAGTGATGAGAAAGAAAAAAAAAAAACCCAAACGCCGATGACTAACACGGCTTGCCGGGGCAGCAGGTAAGTGCACCGGAGTAATGAACGATAAGAGGCACCTTATGACCCGAACTAAATTTCACCGTTTTCTCAGGCGCGAACTTCTTGATGGCGTTTGGACTCCCTGATTGGATGAAGATGGCGCCGTTCAACAACACGTCGCCCTCAGATCTCCAGTCCCAGAACTTCCACACTTCCGGTTTCGTGAACTCCCTCTTCAGCACCTCTTTGGCCGCTATGTTTCGTGGAGCTCTGAAGCGGTTGCCTTGGGAGATAATTGTAGGGTGGCTGCTGCCTCCAATGGCGTACATGTTCCAGAAAGTGTAGTCATTGTTGACGACATGGATGAAACCGAATCGTGCTCTCGGCATTCTTTGTACCAGGTTTTTACCGAAACGGTTGAACGCGACGGTGACCTGCATCTTCTCGTCCGGTATGTAGCTATCACTCGCTCCGAACAACATCACGTCGTTGTGATCGGTGATGTGACAATTAGAAATGGTGATGGCGGTGCTACCCTGAATGATATCAACAATGCCGTCGGAACATTTGTAAATGGAAAGATGGTCGAGCCAAATGTTGGTAGCTCCGAAAATGGAGACTCCATCGCCGTCACTCCTCGTCCTCAACCCGATATGATTGGCACCGTCCTGAATCAAGCCGCCGTTCCCCGGAATAATGTGGTGGATATGGATGTTATGGATAATAACGTTCTTAATAAACTGGATGGTAAAACTAGCCCCATAAGCAATATGCACGTTGGCTCCCCTACCATCAATCGTTTTATCGCACGTCATAATGAGCTCCTCTTTCAGCCTGATGATCATCCCTCTTGCGAAGATGATCCAAAGCGGCACGTTTCGGGTGACGGCATGACGTAAAGTCCCTGGCGCCGGGTTAAGAACATCATCGGAAGAATTAGTCACAACGTAAATCGCTCCGTTCTTTCCACCCGTAACATCACGTCCGAATCCAAGAGCGCAATCAGCCAACCTCTTCCTATTCTTTTCCCAGTTAGGATCACATCGCCAACATTGGTCGATCGGGTTAGTGGCCTCACACGGAGTCATTCGCTTGATCTTTCTGGTCAACGCCCGTCTCGTCGTGCTATTAGAACCGAGCCCCATCAACGTGGTGGCAACACGATCGTTCAGATGATTGGTCACCTCCTCCGGTTTAGGGTTATACTCTTTTTCCAGATTCTCTTTAGCCTGCAATTCACGTTCCCTCCAGTATTCATCGTATTCCGCGATGTCAGCCTGCAGTGTCGGGATTATTACAACAAAGAACAAACACAATAAACATAAACTCAAACTTTGATTTCCCGTAGCGGCGCCCATGTTTAGCCCCATTTTGCTTCAGGCTTTTATTGTTCCAGTCCTCTTGAGAAAAGAGCAAGAAATAAATAAAGTAAAAAGAATTTCCAGGCCAAAGTCCTGCACACAATTTATTCGATTGCAACAAGACCCTGACCGGAGCCAAGCCAAGCCAATAGCACTGAGATACTCTCGTTAACATCATCTAATATAGCCTGCATTCCCCTACTAATACGCACAGGCCGTTAAGGTCTCCCATGGTTGAGATAATTCTGCGTCTTCTTCGCTATTTGCTTTCTGAACAATTTGATCTTTAAGATTCATCAAAAATAATTATTATAAATATATAAAATATAAAAAACATTAATAGTAAACTACAATAATGGTCACTGAACTTCTAGAATGTATGTACTTTGGTCATTGAAATCAAAAATAAAATTCCTTTCATTTCAAATATTACTATCGTCAATGGCAAAAAAAATGTGAGCATTTCTTCAATAAAATGATTCCAATGAATTTTTTTTATATTCATGCGATCCGATGAAGCATCATAAAAGTTCAATGGTAATTAGAATAATTTATCTTAAAATAAATACAATTAATAGTTTAATTTAAATACTATTTTTATCAATTAAACAACAATTACCCAGCTGGATAAAATGATTAGGTACTGATTCTTTTAAAGGGTATGGAGTTTGAACCTCTCAATGAAATACTTTTCTTATTTATATTAACAAATAAGGTGACTATACGAATTTCAATCATATTTTAATCTAAATATTATAAATATTAAAGTTAATTAAAACCACATTACATTTTTTATCATTTTAATCCATGAATAATTTCATTTTTAATTAGAATTTATTTCGAATTAAAATAATTATATTAATATTTTTTTATATAAAATTCAAATTGAATCGAACTTCAAAGCCGAATATGATATCAAATTCCATGGTCTACAGTGACATATAAGACATTGTATGTTTCGACCAATTAGACATCATAGTTTTATCCAGAAACCTCTTGTTGTTGATCTTTGTGTGTTCATCTTGTTCCTCTGAGCGCGTGGGATATTAGGCATTCATCTTGTGTGTTCATCCGAGAGTGAGGCGCGTGCTTATCAATACCTGTCCCAAAAACGCCAATATTCTAGAAGTCTCTAATCAAGTGACAAAGCCCATTAACACACTAGGGTTTTTTATCTTCTTAGACTTCTCCAGTTTCAAGCAACCAAACCAACCCTTATCCTTTCCACTATTTTTCTCAAAGGTATAATCTTTGTTGTTCTTCCTCTTTAAAAAGTCTGGGTTTTTGTTCTTAAGAATAATTGGTTTGTAGGGATTGAATTTTATTTAATTTTCGGCGAAATTTGAATGCAGAAATGGCTACATCTCAGCTAACAGCGTCGTCACTGACAGCATCCGCAAGGAACTTGGCTTCATTTGAGGGGCTTAGGCCGTCCACTGTGAAATTCGCTTCCTTTGGAACATTAAAGCCTGGGGCTTTGTCTCACAGGTCCTTTAAAGGTTTGGTTGTTAAAGCGGCTGCCGTTGTTGCTCCTAAGGTAATTCCTCTTATTACTTTATTCGTGAAATAATCGAATGTTGTAGTGCTGTTGGAATGATTCTGTTTAGTAGTAATGGGGTTTTGGAGTATGTTGATGTATTGCCCTATGTATTATCATATTTGAAGTTGATTGCATGCATTTTTTCCCCTGTTTTAAACAAGTTCAAGATGTATGAGACTAGGCACGACTTGGTTGCTATCGGCTTATTTGAACTGCAAAAATCGAGTAATCTATTGTGGATAGGCGTAGCGGAGGTGATAGTGTGTTCTCTGCTATATGCAGTATACTTCAATTAAGCCCTTGGGTGATAGAGTGCTGGTGAAGATCAAAGAAACGGAGCAGAAGACAGAGGGTGGCATTTTTCTTCCAACAACTGCTCAATCGAAGCCTCAAGGAGGCAAGGTCGTTGCCGTTGGTGAAGGGAAGACTGTTGGGAAGACCAAAGTGGAAAGCACTGTGAAGGTGAATTTCATGGATTAGATATGCTTCCGAGTTTTTTTTTTCTATTTCCTTGCTATACTTACTCAAGGCTATGGTTATATTAGACTGGAGCTCAGGTCATATATTCCAAGTATGCCGGGACGGAGATCGAGTTCAATGGTGCAAATCATCTTCTCCTAAAGGAGGATGACATTGTTGGGATTCTTGAAACGGATGACATCAAAGATCTCAAGCCTTTGAACGACAGAGTTTTCATTAAGGTTGGCTTTCTTTAAAAATATGCATGTTTGGTTGTCATCCCAATGTCCTGTTGATGTTTCAATTATTAATGCGAGGAATAATGAGTTCGTTTTTACTTGGGTGAACCGAGGAAGAATCAGTTTCTTTCTCGTTCCCAAAGTGTGTGGATCTCTGAAGAGTTACCCGCTGGGACCTTCCCTTACAGTCAATTAATTTTCAATGCATCTTTGATCATTCCTTACACGTGAATGGTAACCGACAGAAGAAAGCAGTCCATGGTATTTGACTTCAAAGTACTCAATTTTGTGTTTGAATTTTGTTGCAGGTTTCGGAAGCTGAGGAGAAAACTGCTGGAGGTTTGTTGCTGACCGAGGCAACCAAGGAAAAACCTTCTATTGGCACGGTAAGAGTATTAAGTTTTGTGATGAGGGCATGACATTAATACTATGGCGTGCAATGTGGTACTCACCCCATGAATTAAATGAAACAGGTGATAGCGGTCGGACCTGGTACTTTAGATGAGGAAGGTAACCCAAAGCCACTATCAGTAACACCAGGAAACACAGTCCTGTATTCAAAGTACGCCGGGAATGACTTCAAGGGCAACGATGGTAGTGATTATATTGCTCTGAGAGCACCCGAAATAATGGCTGTACTATCTTAGTTGTCTAGTAAGATTGTGCTTTAGGTTTCTTAAGCTAAAACTGGATTCAAAGGATGAGTTTGCTACAAAGCACACGTATTTTGTTTTTCTTTTTCCTTGAATATAAATGGTTTCAGCGTTTTGTAAGAAATGGTTTGACTTAGCTCCTCATAAATTCTCTGACCTTGTATAAGAAATTTGAAGCTGACGTGCTTAAAAAAATTCTTAAATCTTACTGCCTTTTTCTATTATATAAATATAAATTGTCTACCTTCGACAAATTTATAGACGTGTTATTTAACATTGCCTACCTTATGAGGAGAAAAACAGCTTCAAATATTTCTCAAGTTCTCCACCTCCCAACTACGGTTTTGATATTTCTTTTGATCATTCCTAGTTATGTCATGGATGAGGAGACCATGTCCAATGAACGGAAAATTGCCTGAGCTATTGGTTTCCGGCAAAAAAACCCGGATTGTTTTTGGATGCTGCTACGACCCCACAAGTCTATTATATATCAAAAGCCCATCACCACGGGGGTATAAAGAGACACGAGGATTTAGAGATAATTTAGTTAGCCAAGGAATGAGTTTAGTACACATGGGATTAAGGTACAAACAGGGAATTTAGCTGTCTAGCCAAAAAACAAGAAAAAGAAAAAGAAAACAGCAGAAGCATCCTACGACGGTTCTCCAAATACAGAGTTCTCCCTGTGCAGCCATGAGCAGGATCCCTCCGATTACTGGTAGTACATAAGCTGCTGGGTTGTTGCAACGTTTTGGTATCCACTGTCGTAGATTGCTTGACCAGCTGCAGCTGCACCCATTCCCGTGGCTGCCTGCTTAAGGGCATGCTGACCCTGTGGATGCATCATACTCATTATCTGTGCACCGCTATATTTACTCATTGCCATCTGCCGTTCATAGGCAGCAAGGTCGGCAGCTGAAAAAACAGGCATAGGTGTTGCAGCTGGTGGAGGCAGAGGGGTCGAGCTTGTACCTGCTGCAGTAGGTTTGCTACCCCATGAGCACTGCAGCATTTAAACATTTTATAGTTCACGCCACCAAAAATAATTTATACTAACCATAATTATAGCAAATCTAGAAGCTCCTCCAGCAATAACACTCATACCAATAATTCCACGCCAGGATGAATGACGGTCATTTGTGACATCAATTTATCAATACAAGGACGGTAACCAAATCGCATTAAAAATCTTAGCTGCTGCAAAATCTGAGGTCAGGTTCCAGAAAGTGTAATACCTTAATTGGTTTACTACATAGAATTCTGGCATTTCCCATCTGTATGGCTAAAGCTGCTTCAGTATGTGAACTGTATCTTACAAAGCCAAAGCCTTTATCTCGTTGCACACGAACATCTTCGATAGTTCCCGCTCCAAGGGCATGGAAAAGCCTGTGAAGATCAACTGATGTAACCTGCAATTTTTCATCTATGAGAACCACCACCACCAAAAGAAAAACCACTTATTATCCATCTATCAGACATCAAAACACTGAAGTGCAAGCGAAGTTTGATATTGCTACTAAATAATTATTAAAAGCTGTCATTGAAACCTAAGGATGGACATTATTCTTTTGAGACACACTGGCAGCAACAACAGTTCTGCTAAATTGACTACCATGTGGTGCTTCAAGGTCAGTCATGGACATTTATTGATCTTGCTATTAGAATACAAAACCAGTACATCAGAAAATTGTGTTCATTAGCTATGCGTTAGACTTAGGTAGGGAAACTTTGCCATGGAAAAAGAATCTTAAGTCGGTAGTAAGAGCGATAGCACCAACCTCACTATTTTTCCCAGCCAAAAGTTAGGAGACAGGGAAGAAGAGACAAACTTTAGATTGGAAAAAACTATTTACCTCTGGGGCAAGATTGCCAACATAAACAGTGGTATATTGAGGATTGTTTTCAGGAGCATCATCATTAGTCTTCTCATGACCTTCTGCAAGAAGCATAATACGATATAAGCTGTACAATGAAAAACAAGCGGGGAATTATTTAAACGTCCTACTTCACGCCATCGTAAAACATTTAGACTCAGAGACTCAAAACCAATAAAATATAACAATGGCAAAGCAGGCATGATATATTAATATATCAAACATCCATATTGGAAATGATGGCTCCAACAAAGGCCAGAAACCAAAATGCTGAGACCAACAGCTAGGATGTTTCAAATTATAGATTTAATGCATTCAAAAGTTAGAAAGAAACAGCCATGGTTATTCCAGAAAAAGAAAATGAAGTTCAGGGGGGCCTAAATAATTGGTACCAGATCTCAAATACAATAATTATTTCAACACTGAGAAGGGCCTTACCGGAGGTTCCATTTGTTGGATCTACAACACTTTTGGCATCTGAATTTAATTTGTCATAATTTGAAGTGGCACCTTTTGCAGCCCAATTACATCGGATCTGTTTACTTCCAAGCCACTTCCCTATAATACGCCAAAACAACTTGACTGAAATTTGAAAAAAGTGCTCCTCAGAATACAGATGCCTAAAATTATAAATAAAAGCAATGTTTCACACACCATTTAAGTCATTAATTGCACTTTGGGCATCCTGGGAAGAAAAAAGGAAAGAAAAAGAGATCAAGACGTGATTAAAACACATGGAGAGGAGGGGGAGGAGAAGAAGAAAGATAAATGCAGTTACCAGTGTACCTGCTGGTCCCTGAAAGAAACAAAGCCAAAACCTCTAGAACGCCCAGTTTTTTGATCCCACATGACCCTTGCATCCCTGGAACATGTCTTTCAGTCAGCTATCCTACTAGTTCAACGTTGATTACCCCAAAATCCCTTTAATTGATAAGAGGTAATCTCAAGGTAAAATGAGAAGAATTGGTACTCACGAGCAACTAGAGTACACAGAAAAACATGCAAACAAAGTAGCATCTGTAACTTCGGGACTAAGGTCACCAACAAAAATGTTGTGATGACCTGAATGCCAAAGCAGAAATAAGTTACTGACGCAGTAAATAGGTAAAAATACAATTGGATAGATCTCGTTGGTGGATATCTAAAAACCTGATGTATCCTCCCTCTGACTACTAGCATAAGCCCAATTAACTTTAATAGGTTGCCCAAACCTGCAAAGAGTACCAAATATTAAAAGTATAAACCAATGGAAAAGGCCATCACAAGGGTTCATATTGTTACTTACAGATGTCTTCCATTAAGAGTCACAATTGCAAGGGCAGCTGATCTGCGATCAAAGTAGTCCACAAAACCATAGGATGACTGCATTAAAAGCGGATATCAGCCCATCCAAATAGAACTAAGAACCTCAAAATTCCAATAAAAGTTCATGAAAAATGAATATCAAACAAAAACTAGTAACACAACTGTATCAAATGATGACCTTGTCCTTTTTAATAAGTTTGCATCCTTCAATAGGACCAGTACTCAAGAAGACTTCTTGCAGAAGGGGTTCCGTGACTTGGGGGTGAATATTTCCCACATACCTGCAATTTAAGATTAGGTAAATGATCAAAGGTAACAATGAAGCATGACAGACAACTTAAGCTTCACCAAAAGATATTATAAACACAGCTCAAATAAAAAGACTCAAAGACAAAAGGTGACAATAATTTTTATTTATCTATTTTTAAATAAAAAAAAGGAACTGGATGAATATGCAAAACTCACACACTGCGGCAAGTAGCTGCATCAAATCCAGGAGGAAGGTTTCCACTCAAGATAGGTTCTATCTGCAAATTAAAAAGGAAAAAAAAGAATTAAATCAAAAAAGGGGAATTTTCTTCCTATGCTGGACATGGACACCCCTCAAGTCGGCAGATAAAACAAACATTAGAAACAAAGTCTAAAAGAGACACCTAAGCCTTACAGTAGCAAATAAGAAAAGAAAAAAGAAAGAGGATCCATTTACACAATTAAGCTGGCTAATTGCTTTTTTAATTTCATAAAAATACCCCTAATCGTTGTCATCATGAACCATTTGATACACAAAATGATAACAACATCTCCCCAGATTTTTTTCATATCATGCAAATTTGTCATTTTTCTCGGATAATTTCAACAGAAAACAGAAAATTTTGAGGCCAAAATCCTCCGATGAAGAAAAGCCCCAAAAATTTCACATAAACAAATACTAGCAACCATATTGGCACACGAAAAGGATGAATTTATAACAAACCCAAGTCGAATAAGAAATAAACTGCTAATAGAAATTGAAACTCCTAGTTTTGATAAAAAAAATTAATAGAGAGACAAACAGAGACCTGATGACCGCCCAAGAAACCAGGATTGTGGTACAGAACTTGTTGCATCAGAGCTTGTTGCTGCTTTAGCTTTTGCTGCTGCTGCATCTTCTTTAAACTTTACCTTTTATAAAGCAATAAAATATAAAGGAAATTTTGAAGGAAAAGAAGAGGAAGAGGAAGAAGAAGAAAATAGATAGTACAAAAAGAGACTTGATTTTATATTATTTACTTTTTGTTTTTATATAGAAACAAGATGCTTCTTACGGGTAAATAAATAGAATATCTTGAGCTTTTGGGTTGAAATGGGTCGGGTGGGTTCAGGAGTACTAAGTAAAGATGGATTTTATTTTGGGTAAATTACTTATATAATTATTAAATTATAAAGTTGATTTTATTTTGATCATCAAATTAAATATTTTTATTAATTATTATGAATCAAGTCATTGACATTTAAAATTAACGAAAATGATAATGTGATAGTTCAGTGCATTTGTATAATTATATTTCTAATTTTCTTTACATATCCTATCAACTTAATAATATTATAAATAAATTTAGTCAACTACTAATATGTAAGTAAAAAAGATAAATATAATTATACAAATTGTTTAACTATTACATTATTATTTTTTAAATGTTAACGATTAATGATATTATTAATAATATTTCAATAGTTAAATAGTCTAATTAAAAATTAATAGTATAATTGAAAAAATTAGTTAGGTGGTTAAAATATAATTGATTTCACAGTTTAGAGACTATCTTGGTGGTTTACCCTTATTTTTTCCAGTGGTGGTGATTAAATTATAACGGGTAAAGTATATTAAAGATCACTAAACTATACACAAATGATCTTTTTATTCATTAAAGTTTTAAAATTTACAAAATAGTTATTAAATTTATCAAATTATTATAAAATGATCATTGTGATATTATAAAATGATCACTAAATTATCAAATTGTTCTAAAATGATCATTAAACTCAAAACACTTATTTTCAAAAAAGGAGAAACACTCAACTAAAACTTTAATGGTAGAAAATAATTGCAATTAAACTAATGATGAGATCTTGATCGAGAGCTATAAGGAAACAACAGGCTTAGATCCTGCTGAAAAACAAAAGAAGGATAGGAGGACTGACAACAAGCATCATAAAAATGAATTCAACTTGACTCGACTCAAACTATTGCGGAGATTGAGCAGATAAACGGAGCCATGGTTTGTTGTGGACGATCTTGGAAGGCGATGCTGCCGAGTTACCTATCTGGTATGGTAATGCTCTCGTAGTGATCCTGTAAAAATGATCATATAAGGACATCAAACAGTCAGACAAAGGGGGACATGAACTTAATTATAAAAACTTCATCTGCTTTAATCTTATTAAGGTATTATTTCGATGAATACAATGCCGACGGACAGTCGATTCCGACAGGAAGACTCGAAGCCTAAACCCACCTACACGCCTTTTTTTTATTCTCGAACTTTGTTACGAAATCAAGGACACAAAGAACTGATTCTAAATCGCTATGTCAAAGCAAATTACAAAGGTTTTTGCATTATAGGTTCCTTTTTTGATCTCTAGGTGCCTACCTATCCTTTCTCTTCTCCAGGAACCGGTGGAGTGAAGCTCTCCTTGCAATTGGTAAATCTGCAATGGACCACCAAACTAATAAGAAGCCCTGAATCGAACACCAAAATATGAACCACCAAGTGAAGAATTAGGCTTACCGCCGCCGGGAATCGGTCGCTGAGCCGATCGTGCGCAATCTTGTGTTATGGTGTTGGTGAAATTAGAGATCATATGTGCAGGGTTGGGGTTGACGCTATTGCTTTGGCAGCTCCCCTTGCCAGCTAAAAGCATGATTTCCTTAGCTTTATCGGCCGGGAAATCGTTGAAGACAATCACTTGTCCACCATAAAAGATAGTCATCTGTGCAGTTTGAGGCTCCGTCACAGCCGGATTGTTCATGGAGGCAACACTAGAATCAACCCTTTTCGGGCCATCGTCCGGTGATGGAAAACCAGCTTGATTAGGGAACAAATCAATCGATCTCGGTTTCCGAGTCGCCGGCACAACGTTGCGGCCACAATCATTACTGGATTTCTCATTGACTGGAAACAAATTCATGGTAGGACAAGGACGCAGCATCTCTGGGGTCCCTGCAACATAACCATAAACAAGGTTACACATTAGACTCAAAACAGGGCATGAATATCTAAACATAATTTATTTAAAAATATCAAATCTCGATCATTTATTTGATTAAATTTAAACCCTTCAGTAAACAAAGAATAAAAAAAACAACAAAGCTTAATTGAGCTCCTTTCAGCAATGAAATGAAGAATTTACCATTAACTTCAACGTTGCATGTCATTCCCAGAGTTAGATCTCCAAAGCTACCCTTTTCCTTCAAGTACTGGCTCAAAAGGCTACAAGTTTGCGCGAAGCTTGACTTCTCCGGTGACCTCGCCGGTTTTTGACCCATAGATTCCGGTGAACAAGACATCATCAAGCAAAACAGAACACAACGATTTCACCCCTTCTGCTCTTTTGGGTATTCAGGGGTTCTTTACAACTTTACTTAGCAACTAAATCGAGAAGCAAGGGATTTTATTTGCATGAGAAGACCGAATCTGGCTTTTTATTGTTGTCTTTGAAAAGAAAAAGGTAGAAGAAGGTTGGTTAAAAAAGCACGAGGAATAAATGTTTTTCTTAAGCTTGCAGCTGTGCCTACTGACGAGGTGCTTCCATATATATTGTCTCGTTCGTTTGGGATTTTTCAACCACGTGTTGTTTTTCTTTTGGTGTCGACGACGTCGATGTTTGATCAGTTTGTGGTCTTTTCCCCCCAACATGTTTTCAATATTTTTAAGATGACTTTTAATATTTGAGGCACATTTACATTTTTGTCAAGTAAATTTGTTCTTTTACCACAATCTAACCGAGCAACCAAACAAATGGCATGACATCATAATCTAACTCGAAATTGATAACATTATAATATTTTTTAAATTAAAAATTTTATTTTATTTAATAACATATGTTTTCATTATATTGATTTCATTAATCAAATAGAAATTTTCATTTTAAATTTTACATTAAATTCCGAATTACAAAAACTTCCTCAACCCCAAATCATATTAGATGAAGAACAGAAGAAGTGTATTTGACGAGTCAAGTTTAATTGACCTAAGTAGACTCATGACCATGCCTAATGATAGAATAGAGTCAAAGTCCTCAAAAGCTATCTTAGTGAAAGAGGTATACTAATAAAGCACCTTTAAATAGTTAGAAAAGGATAAAATGACCATTCAGCTCAGTTGGTAGAGAACAAAGTTTTTAACTTTGAGGTCGTGGGATCGAGTCTTATGGAGGGCATTTCATAATTCAGAAGTTTTTTACGGAAGCTGCTCTCAACCTAGTGTTGGGGACAGCCTACTATTTTACCTCCCCTTACCCCATTACATATGGGAACAAGGGACAACCATTTTAAATAATTGAAAAAAAATCACTAACCAAAACGGCGTTAAAGATGACTCGGCGTGCCTTTCCTTTAAATTAATTTTTTGAATAAAATAAGAAATAAGCAAAATAGCTAATTATTTCTATTCTGCATTGGAGCTTCACGTATCTTTTCTTGAATTATCTTGGACGCTTTTATCGAGTTTGTTTGAAAATTTATAATTCTGTCAGTTGTGATCATGTTAGTCTCACCATGTTATTCATTATATTATTTCTCTCTCTAGATATGAAGACGAAATTCAACTTCCAATATCTGGTATCTAAGTTTGTATTAAAGGAAGTCATTGAAGAGGTATTCCTCGATCTCGATCTAACTATAATATCATTGAAAACTTCTTTGCTATTTGTTTTTATTATGATGGACTTCAAATCTAAATTCCAATCAGTCGATAAACTTTTAAAAAATACCTCAAAATTCCATATAAAGAATCAAACATTTTTCAATAATCTTGCAGTATCTCACGATCCATCTTCCTTCATAGTCTTGAATCACACCTCCGCAGGTCGAAAACCCATCTGCTTTGCAGCGAGCTCAGTCCAAATTAATTTTAAATCGTCATGTGTCTTCTATAACGTTCCTCATTCGATAGAAGCTTATTCCGAACCAGCAACATAGGCACATCTTTACACGCGGAGGACCACGGTAATTCATGATTTGGTGCCAAATTAATTTATTTTCAAATGTCTGATATTTTATTTCATTAAAGTGCCGTCCAACAGAAGCGGGAGCCACATTTCACATAAAAACACCGCCATTGCTTCGCTTCTCATCCTTCAAATCTCAAAAACAGGTAAGCGACAAGCGCACGTTCTTTCCTCCAATAATATTTAGACACGTTAAAATGTAATTTTTATTAGATTCAATCAGATGTATTAGATATATATAGGGATGCAATAGGTCGGGTCGGGTTTTTGGGTCACCCAACCCGACCCGAGAAGAAATGGTCCTCCACCAGTAACCCGACCCGACCTGAAGAAATTAAGATTTCACCCGTCCCGACCCGAATATAAGACTTAGAAACCCGACCCGACCCGAAATAATTAAAAAATATATTTTTATTCAATAAAAAAAGTGACTTAATTGAAAAAAATTATATATAGAGGGGTAATATTGTAATTATCCCTAAATATATAGGTAAAATTATATATATTTTTGAGTCGGGTCAGATTTTTTTCACCCTAAACCCGACCCGACCCGACCCGAACAGTGCATTTAAAAAAACCGACCCGAATCCTAATTTTTTAAAAAAATCCGACCCGATCAAGTCGGGTCGGAACCTGTCGGGTTTGGGCCCTAAATATATATAGGATAAATTTATAAAATTTTAGAAAATAAACCTAAATTATCAATATAAATTATAAAAAATTTAAAATGTATTAAAATTTAAATTTTCAAGGATAATTGCTCCACCTACATTTGATCTTTCTTTAATTTATATTACATACATTATTAATGATTAAAATTAAAATTAAATATATATTATATTATAATCATTCAAGTTATTAAATACATAAAATGTGTTTTTTTTCCATGAATGATTTTTTTCCTAATGATTTTTCGACTCTTCAACTTTATCAATTTATCATTTTAATTCTTACATTTTTATGTCTTTCATTTAAGTCTTTGAACTTTTGTCTTCTTTTCATTTGATTCAAATATCAAATAAAAATAATAATATTTTTGAATTGTCATCAATTATTTTATGCTTACTGAAATATTAGTACCAACTTTCATTTTCTAATAATATAATATAAAAGAATAAAATATCTAACGTCAACATTTTAATAATAATAAGATATTGTTACTATTCCATAATGTTTAAGTCATTTTGATAAAAGAAAATAAAAGTATGAGGGTTAGAAAGAACACAATAAAAGTTTATGAATTAAGATCATAAAATCGATAACGTTAATGAACAAAAAATGTCATTCTTTTTTTACGTCAATTTAAATGGAATACAAAGTAATATATATTCAATGACTCTTAACTTTTTGATAATAAACACTTATACTTTTACATTTGTAGTATTCGAACTCGAGACCTTAAAAAATAACAACAAATCCCATAATCACAGAGATTGTTTAATTCGTATGTTATTCAGTATTTTATTAAAAAAATTACATAAATAATCACTCAAATATATGATTTTATCATTTGACTTTAACATCAATATATTTTAAAATTAATTTAAATTATATTAATATATTATGAAATTTAATGTTGTGTTTTTTAATTCAATCTCTCAAATAAAATTATTCAATTGAGATTTAAATTTAATCATTTTTAAACATTTACACATAATTAGTTTTTAGATTAATTTCACAAATATACTGATAATTTTAGATTTATTTTTATGTATTAAAATTATTTTAAATTATATACTAATTCTTTGATTTTTTAATTAGTACAATTTATGTTCAAATCATTCTTAGTTTATTTTGAAATATATTCTATAATAAGATATAATTTCTAACTACATTTTACTACTGATTATTTTATTATTTGAATTGATTTAAATTTTGTTAAGTATTATACTTAAATCTTTAAAATTATTATTTTTGATTAATTAATGATTTTTTAAATATAAATGAATAAAAAATAAATCATAAAATTATGTAGACAAGAATCGAATTATCCCCTCAAAACTAATAATTCTACCCTTGTACAAACTCTTGCATGGTTCGAGTTTGATCAAATTTAGAAACCGGTCCGACCCATGTACATGTGTGGTTGGGAGTATCTTCGACTTCGCTTATTTTGGTGGACTGTTTCAATGAAAAGTTGGGAGCTTATAATTCAGCCACGTGGACCTTAGAGTTCCTTCTTCAACCCAACTAATATAATTATATCCAAAATTATATATATTCCTTAAAAAAATGTATATATTATAAAAGACAAATCGATCTCAGAACCGGAACTTAAAGGCGACGAACGACGCAGCGGTAATGTATCGAACGGTGGTGAATCGCATCCTTCTTAGTGGCGGAGGACGTCGCCTCCTCCGACAACCTGATCTTAGAACAGTCATTAGTTCCTCTCGGTTTTCCACAACAACAGAAACTCAAACGATCCCTAATCGACCCCTTAACCCACCTGATTCTTCGTCGTTATCGTCTTCTTCGACGAGTTTCCAGACACCACCCGCGGCTGGGGATGTTCCACGTCATGAGAGAAAGAACCCGAGAGCCGAGTACGAAGGGGAGCAAGCTCGGGTTCTTCAAGCCTCACTACGACACGTCGTCCGTACATCAATTAATGCTGTGATATAGTACTATTTTGAAACTACATTATTATTTATGATTTTCTTAGAGTTTAAAAAACTGTTTCTTCTTTAAAATGCAGCTAAGGTTGGGATGGAGTGAAAAAGCAATGATAGCAGGAGCAAAGGAAGTTGGGATTTCTCCTTCCATTGTTGGATCTTTCCCCCGAAAAGAAGCTGCCCTTGTCGAGGTAAATTTTTGGTTTAAACAAAAGTTTCAATTTTTATTAGCTCTGGTTTTCTTCTTTTTGGTATTTTATAAATTTATTTGTCAAATTCATTCTTTAATTTTGTGATTGTTATCAGTTTAGGCATGGTAGTTTTAGTAAAGGCATTACAATTTGTGAACGTTCTGATTGTATTGTTTATGATATGAACCTTCTTTCCTCATCATTGTCTTATTGAGTGTTGTATCAAAACCAATCTAAAAGAATATTTGGATACTGTTTTTCTAGAAAGTGTCTATATGGTATTTCCTTCTTTGTGGAATCCTTGATGCGGTTCTTCTATATACTTAGGTTGCACCACTTTGCACAAAACTGGTCTTTAACACTATGTTTGAAATGAATCAAGAAAAATGGAGGGAATGGAATAGGTAAGGAAAGAGTAAAAGGGTGGAGAGGAAGGAAAACCATTTTTCTTTCATTGTGTCTGGTATGAAAGATGGAAAATAGAGTGAAAGAAATCTGAACTTTATTTAAGGTATATTATAAGAAATCCGAACTTTATTTCTTTAGGTCTTTGTATTCTCAAGTTGGTTGTTGTATCCACTAAATGCAGGTTGCCTGATGCTAAGCTCTTGATTTGTTGTATCTATAATTATCTTACAGTCTGATACGTACTTAGCTTTGTCAATTCAGTTAATATGATATGTTTTCTTTCATTGTCCAACAATGACTTGAATCTGATTTTCCCCTCTTCTCTGCAGTTTTTCATGGATGACTGCTTACAAAGGCTTATTGATAGAATTGACTCTGGTGAGGAATTACAAAACTCGACTCCTAGCCAGTGCATCTACAAGCTTGTAAGGATTCGCCTTGAAATGCAAGCACCCTATATATCAAAATGGCCTCAAGCTCTCAGCATTCAAGTATCAGTTCTTATGCTCTCTTTTTCTCCCTTGTTAAAGGACTAGTTTACATACTTGACACCTTCACCTTCAAAGACGAATGTTTTCTCAATTCTTTGTAGGCACATCCATTGAATGTTTCTACAAGTTTTAAGCAGCGGGCAATGCTGGTTGATGAAATCTGGCATGCAGCTGGTGATGAGACCTCCGATTTAGATTGGTATGTGAAGCGCACTGTACTTGGGGGGATATACTCAACAACAGAGATTTACATGCTGACTGACAGCTCCCCAGGTTCGTTTCCTTTACCTTCACGTGCTTAGAAATATGGTGTTAGGGATTAGGTGTATACACCTTTGTAATTTTGTCGGCAACCTTCTTGTAGAGATGCAATGTTTGGATAGCATATCATCTACTTATCATTTCCTTGCAGAATTCCGGGATACATGGCTGTTTTGGATAATCGGTGAAAGATGCTTTTGATTTGAAGAAGACAATTCAGGAGGTAGTCTCTCCTTCCTCTTTTTTCTTCCGTATATATATATGGGGAAAATTGGAGTCTTAATGAAGTGAGATGTTGCAGGCAAAGTATTTGGCAGAAGCTGTTGGTGCTGGAATGGGGAGCTCTTTGCAGGGTTTTGTTGGTAAAGTGTTTCAGAGATAAAAGCTCGAGTCAACACAGCTCTTTATAGTTCTACTACTTGCTTCAGACTCGACACTAGTCTTGACGAGCTATAAAAACTACTAGCTATCAAGCTTAGTATTTATCACTTGGCACAAAATGTCGAGTTTAGGTTTCATATCAAGTTTAGTGCGGGGCTTTAATGCTTCAACCAAGTGCCTTGATTCATCTCCTTGGCAATTGATTGAACTGAATTTGTAGATGCAAGCACAGTTATCATTTGTTTGCAGGATACTGTTGCTTTACAATTTATATGAGACTATATTTACTTAATAAATAATAATAAAGCATCTTTCGGTTGTTTACAGGCTTATTGCTCAAACTTGTCTCTGTGGTGCACTCTGATTTGAAGTTAATTATTCACATGCTTTGTTCTTTATTTTTTTGATTTATGGTTCCAATTTCGTGTTAGATTTTACTTGCTGACCCTATTCTCATATGTAATGTGCTAAGAGAGAGGGAGGATAATAGGCTGTCCCTAACGCTAGGTTGAGAGCAGCTTCGGTGGGAGACCTCCGACAGTCAAAATTATGAATTGCCCACCATGAGAATCGATCCCACGACCACAAGGTTAAGAGTTTTGCACTCTACCAACTGAGTTGGACGGGCCATCTACTATCCTACCTCCACCTTACCCCCATTACATATGGGAATAGGGTCAGCTATTTTACTTGCTGCAATTTTCTTATCATACTATTAAGCGGCAAAAACTAACAAGGCAATCTACAAATGATCGTGAAAATACAGCACGAAGCAAACAAACAATGGCAGTTCTGAACAATTTAGGTCAAATGAACTGTAAGAGCCTAGGAAGGAAGCTAAGGGAAACTAAAACAATGAGGGCAAAAACAATTTTGGGTGTAAACATGAACCCTTTAACTCAATGAACCTAATATAGCTATGCACATATAGTTATTGCCAATGCCATGCTATTGGAGGGAAGCAGAAATCATCTTCAATGCCTCTTAAGAGACGAGAATCAACGTCCTCTCTCTGATCATTTAGCCGATGAATGCTTCAGAATGGCTAAGTTTCTCCTTTATTATTAGCTTCCTCCAACAATTGATATGTGCTATACAGAGCTTTCGTGCCTATCGTCACCATCATTGAAATCCTGGGTTTACAGTCGCACTAATATTTGCGTCGGCATGAAACACTAACTGAATGACATAATCTATTAACCGAAATCAAGGAACTCCATTCTTTTTCGCATGGAGCCCTTCAGATCTGATGCTTCCCGTTCTGCTTTCTGAGCCTGGAAAATAATAGAGGGACAGGTTATTCGTGTAGGTCAGAGAACATTGGCGGGAGGAATTTTATTTATATCTTTACTAAAACCTCAACCGGATATGGCAAACAGGAAGAAACATGCAAAAAAAAAAAAACGATTTCGGACAAGTCACTTACCCTTATAATCTCGGCTTCTGATACAAGGGTCATACGCGAAGGAAGCTCCTCCTTTTCCAAGTCCTTCGTAGCAATTTATAACAAATAAATGACATTGTGAGACAATAATTCCATTTGCCAACCAAATAAAAAAGGGTTTGAAAGAAGATGGCATAAAACAGCATACCAGCTCTCCTATTAAGACGATATTATCTCCACGGATTACATATAGACCTAAGGGGATGTCAGTATGTCACAGTACAAATCTCCAACAATAACTCTCTCGCAAGCTCCTTCTAGAATAACATTAGCTGTAAACATAGAAGGGTGGACATCACAGATTATAATCCGAAGAAAAGAAACGAAGAAAGAAGATAAGAACTAAGCAAGGAATAAGATCAGGGCAAACTACCGAATTGATCGAAAGAATGCAGTAATCCCAAAAGCTTTCGACCATCTCTCAGCAGGACAAGGAGTTTCTCTATAAAATAGATAATAAGTCCATAGACGTGTTGTACGACAATTAAAGATCTAAAGCACAGATAAACAACTAAACGATTGTTGCAAATTAAAACCAAAACATTCAAGGGAATCCGAAGACATGGTATGATCGGAGCAGGTGCATGGTTTATGCTAACAAAACATCTCTATGAAACACCTTGTGCAAGAGCATTAACATGTCTCAATAACACAAATTTGATTAGGAACAAATGTCAGATTGCATTACAGCAAAGGGAATTATCGTTCAATGTTTATCCAAACAATTCATTTGGAAATTCCAAAATATAAAAGTTCAAAGCTTGTAACTTTAGACATGCAGCACAACACCAGCTCTCTCAATTCCAAGAACATGGAAGGACAGAACTCCACAAATGGAAAGAGCCCATTAAAGTAAAGTACACAAAACAGGGAATCAACTGAATCAAAGAGTGTTATCAAACAAGCCCAAACCTCAAAATCGAAGAAAAAGTAAAATAATAATAATATTGCACATAATAAATCAATAATTCAATTGCATTGGCCTATTACTACATATAACATAGAGGGAATACACAATATAAAACTTTTGAGAGGGATTACTGTCAAGATAGGTGGCAAGAGAAGTGGAGAAGAAGATATCATCAGGGCCAGCCCAAGACATGGAAATTAGTCTTCTTTAATACTTCAATCCCAAATTCCCACACAAATAGCATTGGCCAGAAGAGAAATATTACCTCCAAATCTGTTAAATAAAAACCCTAGCTCTCTCACTCTCTCTCTCTTTAAAGAAAAATAAAAAAAGGAAGCTTTTAAGAAAGAGAAAATAACTTCAGTGACCAAAAATACCTTATAATATACGATTTTAACCAACTTTTTTTGGATTTGCCAAAATGACCAACTAAATCGCAATGCGATCGATAATTCGCAACGCGATCTCCGGTATCGCAAATCAGTTTCCAGATTCGCAACGCGATTCTGACTATCGCATTGCGATTTCCCAAATTCGCGTTGTGATTTCCCAAATTCGCGTTACGATTTTCTTAAATCGCAATGCGATTACGTAAATCGCAATGCGATTACGTAAATCGCAATGCGATTACGTAAATCGCAATGCGATTTACATAGCGACATTCGTATTAACGCGTATTTTTTTTTTAAATTCCAAACACGAATATATTAATATATCGGAACACTGAACCGTCCACAGTATATCCCGTAATCGCAACTCATAACCTAAAACCCTAAATCACAACTCAATCTCATCTTCATCTCTCACTCTCTAAGGCGACATCCGTCCCCATCTCCGACGAAATCAGTCCCCACGACGATAACAGTCTCCATCTCCGGCGAAATCATTCACGGTCAGAAATGAAAAATCAACCAAATCAACCACCGAGGGTTAGTTTTTTTAATTATTTTTATTTTGAAATTTTTGCATTATTATTAGGTTTTTCATATTGAAATTAATGATAAGTTTACTGGTGTTTTTAATAATAGATTAACCATTTCACTTAGATTGCTTATTATATTCATTCGATTACTGCCAATACCGCCAAACTGTTTAGTCTTTAACCCTGTGAAGTTAGTATTTGTCTTTGTTTTGTCTTTTGGTTGAAGTAATGCAATTCATTCAAGTTTCTTTCAATTTTAGTATTTGAAACCGAGAATGACTATCGCAACGAGTGAATCGCAACGCGAAAATGACTATCGCAATGCGAATTTGACTATCGCAACGAGAGAATCGCAATGCGATTTTCATTTCGCGTTGCGATTCTTGCGTTGCGATAGTCAAATTCGCGTTGCGATAGTCATTTTCGTGTTGCGATTTTCATTTTCGTGTTGCGATTTAAAGTTTCAGAAACTATTCTTCTTCTGCAAATTAAAACTTGAATGAATTGCATTACTTCAACAAAAAATCAAATACTAAATTCACAGTGTTGCAAATTTAAGTTTGAAGAATAAACTACTACTCTTTATGTTTATTGTTCATATCTTCACAGTGTAGTTTTTGGTATATCTAAATTGGTATGTTTATTGTTTTTGTAGAACTTTTATTCGGCTCAATTGACCTTAAGAAATAAAGTAAGCATGGCCAAAACAATTGCGTCGAAGCTTTCACCTGCACAAAGAAAAATATTGAGGATACTTGCTTCGGGCCATGGCTGAAAGTACAACATCCGGGTGGAGATGCTATGTTGACCCATCTGTTTCTTCAAACCATGACTAGCGATCTACCAGAGACTATACAACGTCGTGATGAAGAGATATGTTTGATTTTCCACCAGCTTATACGTGTTTTGGGCGGGAGGAGTTTTGCTTAATCACCGGTCTACGCTTCGGACACAATGATGTAGATCGGTACACTAGACATATTACCCGCCTATCATGGTTTTCCCGGGTTTTTCCTGAGCAGTCAACGGAGAAGTCGAATTTACACGTGGAAGACTTGACGAGATTATTGAATAAGAAATATGGTTTTACTCGGATGTATGACGTCGATGTTGTCCGAGTATGCCTTCTAATACTTTTGCAAGCCGGCTTTTTAGGCAGAGAGGCCCGATAACCTATTCCTAATGATCTAATTAAATTGGTAGATGACCTAAATGCATGGAACCTGTTTCCGTGGGGTTCGTATCTATGGAGAGCTACATGGAATAAGTTGTCGTCTGCCTTTAATGATCGGAAAAGTTTGCATGGCGATAGTTCCAAATACACTTTGTCAGGCTTTATTTGGGCCTTTAAGGTAATAATTTTTATATAATGTTTCCAAAATTATAATTAATTCTTTAACAATTACTAATGTTTGTTATTATATTGTTTGTAGATTTGGATATTTGAGGCATTTCCCGCCATGCAGACATATACATTAAAAACTTCTAATGATATTCCTAGGGCTATTTCATGGAAGAGGAAACAGTCCTTGCAGCAATGGGAAGATTTACTACCGTATACTACAATAAATAATGTAAGTTAACACAAATACTACCATATGTTTATAAACAAGTTATTACTAGTACACGTTTAACTTTGTTTGAGCTTTTATATTGTTAGGAGGCCAACACTCCATTACAGAGGCTGACACCCACGGAAGCTGAGCTTGCCACTGATTGGTGGCAAGCTAGTAAGCTTTTTTTTGATGGCACGAATGATGAGCAGCCACCACTTCGAGAGCCATCACCTCACCCAGAGCCATCACCTGATCGACCCGAATATACACCTCCACAACGAGAGTCATCACCTATTCTATCACATCATCGAGCCTCTTCTCCACCATCACCTCATGATAGGTGACCGGCAAAGATGCCACGACGTTTATCTCCTTGTTCTCCACCTCCACCTCCACGGGATGAGTTAGGGGGAGTTACGTAATGAGGTCAATGCCTTGCGTGAGGAGGTCGGTACTTTACGCGATGACAATGGTGCATGGCGTGTTGAGGTGTCAACTTTACGTGGTGAGGTAGTAGCTCTACGTGAGATTGTAGCATCGTTGCAGAACGAGGTTCATACTCTACGCAACGAGGTAAGTTTAATATTTTTCATATTTAACTTGATGATAAATTTACTCGTAATTTCACTTAGATTGCTTAGTAAATTCATTCGGTTGCTGCCAATACTGTTTAACTGTTTATTCTTTAACCCTGTGAAGTTAGTATTTGTTTTTGTTGTCTTTTGGTTGAAGTAATGCAATCAATTCAAGTTTCAATTTGCAGAAGAATAATAGTTTACTATCGCAATGCGAAAATGACTATCGCAACGCGAAAATGACTATCGCAACGAGAGAATTGCAATGCGAAAATGACTATCGCAATGCGAAAATGACTATCACAATGCGAATTTGACTATCGCAACGAAAGAATCGCAATACGAAATGAAAATCGCATTGCGATTCTCTCGTTGCGATAGTCAAATTCGCATTGCGATAGTCATTTTCGCATTGCGATTTTAAGTTTCAGATTATATTCTTCTTCTGCAAATTGGAACTTGAATGAATTGCATTACTTCAACCAAAAGACAAATACTAACTTCACAGTGTTGAAAATTTAAGTTTCAAGAATAAACTACTACTCTTTATGTTGTCATTGAACCTGCACTAAACCTATATGTTGTCCTTTTAAATGTTTATATAAGTGCTTACTTCTGGAATGTTATCTGATGCATTTTGTGAACAATGATATAATAATGACTTGGGTGAATACCGTGCAAGTTTGAAATATATTTGTCTTTGTTCTCACTGTTTAATATCATGTCTGTTTATTTACTGATTTATGTATTAATTTATTTTTAGCGGCCCGCTAAGGTGGATGCTCTACGTCGGGTTTTTCTTGCAAGACAGAGTTCACGCATCAGACGGCGTGCACGTGCCATTACGTCTCCGTTCACCCCAATAGTACGAAGAATCCGTAAGAAAAAGACCGACTCACCTGTCATCGTTCAAGAGGCCTCCCCTATCGTTCAAGAGGCCCCTATCATCCCTCAAGAGTCCCCTCCCACCGTTCAAGAGGCCACTGTCATCGTTGAAGAGGTCCCTCCCAACATTCTAGAGCCTGATTCACACGGCGTAATATATCGAATTATTGAGAAGCCCCTCACGTGCCGGACATGATGGATGACTGTTGGCTTTCGTATAAGTTACCAGCCAGTACCATTCCGACAGATGAAATGGAGATGAAACAACTACATGAAACAATTCTGGATAGTACCCTTTGGGCTAAGACCGTAGTTGATTTTTATCTACATGAGCGGAGCCAAGGGTGTTACGCTGAAATATACAAACTCAACGATGATATGCATTTGTTGATTGAACGGTCTTGGTGGGGTGTATTATTAAGGGTTGAAGACAACGGTTATTTCGATGGGGGGTAAGTCTTATATTTCTTATATTTCAGTTTGATTAATTTTTTTTTTAAATTTATGTAATTCACTAATATATGTCTTTTTTTGTAAAACAGAATATTGATGCATGGGTGACACGTCTTCTAATTGTAAGGAAATTGAAGAAAAATATTAAAAAAACGCGATATACAATTATGCCGACGTCTTTTCACGTAGTTCACTTGAAGAATCAACGACAGGAATCATATGTGTTGGCTAATGGACAAGCTAAACTTTATCCTGCATGGTGAGAGGTCGATAAGGTTAGTATATTTGTTTAAATATTTTAAGGGTGTTCATAAATAAGTGCGCAATTTGAATTATTACATTTCAATGCAGGTGTTTATCCCTGTTTTGGACCGTACCCATTGGCTTCTCGTCGAGCTTCAGCTCCCATCCCTAAAGACAATAGTATACAGCATGATAAATTACATATCATTGTCTGATTTGAGAGATATGATTAAGGGATGGAGCTCTCATTTGGCTAAATTCTTAGATGCAATTGATTATTGGACTAAGTCTGTAAACAAGAAGCCAAAGAAGTTCAATGTTACAGTTATCAGAGACGAGACCGCGCCACAACAAACGAAGGAAGCCAGAGGGGATTGTGGTCCTCTCGTATGCATGTGCTTGGAGCGTTTGACGACAGGAAGTACACATTTTCTACCTCCCACCGATAGAGATAGAGGTGCAGTAGGCTTGTGGTTTCGGCATTTTATGGCTAGAGCGATATATGCGAGACGTTGCCTACCTACATCCACGTTATGAAAGTGTCCATAAACAATTTGTAAGTCAAATGCAAGTGATGTTAAACATATTTACTCTTTTTGGTTTGAAAATGTTTGGTTAAGTAGCTAGAATTCAATAATTTGATGTTTGTAGGTTTTAGATGTGTAGAAAGTGTTGTTGATTCAATGTTTGGTTTCTGCAGGTTAATCCTGAAGTGAGTTGTGTGAAATTGATGTATGAGTGCAAAAGTTGATTTCATTATTATTTTTTTATTGTTTAATTGATTTATAAAAGATGATTTGTAAATGTTGATTTGTTTAATTGATGTGTACATAATATTTGTGCTTGTTTAATTGATTGAAATGTAATAGTTGATTTGTTGATTTCAATCTGCATTATGTTGAATGCAAAACAGACTATCGCAACGCGGAAATGACTATCGTAACGAGAGAATCGCAATGCGAAATGAAAATCGCAACGAGTGAATCGCAATGCGAAAATGAAAATCGCAACGTGAAACTAATTTCACGTTGCGATTTTCATTTTCGATTTGTTTAATTGATGTGTACATAATATTTGTGCTTGTTTAATTGATTGAAATGTAATAGTTGATTTGTTGATTTCAATCTGCATTATATTGAATGCAAAACAGACTATCGCAACGCGGAAATGACTATCGCAACGAGAGAATCGCAATGCGAAATGAAAATCGCAACGAGTGAATCATAATACGAAAATGAAAATCGTAATGCGAAACTAATTTTGCGTTGCGATTTTCATTTTCGCATTGCGATTTTCATTTCCCATTGCGATTCTCTCGTTGCGATAGTCATTTATGCGTTGCGATAGTCAATTCCACATTGCGATAGTCATTTTCGTGTTGCGATAGTCATATTCGCGTTGTGATTTCCGCGTTGCGATAGTCAAATGAATGTCTAATAAGTGATAACAACTGAACATATCATAGAAATGTTCAAACTCAAGTTACTAATACATGCCTAACTGAAAATGTTAAAAGTTCACACATAATATACACATAATACAACATACAATGTAACATCATCACTTGAAACACTAATGTAAGCAATGAATCGTTCAACATCTTCATTGTCGGTTAACAAATAAAATTTACCATTTCTCTGATAAGATAGCCTAAATCCACTTAGGGGCTCTAAATTCAATTTATTTGCAACACGTAACATTAGAGTTTCATAAGTTAACTTTTTTAATGACAGTTTTAGTTGAAGATTCATGGGTAAATGCATATATTGTAAAACACCATGAACATTCTCCCATGACCCTCCAAAACACAAATCTATCCAAACATGATCAACATTAGATGATTTCAATATTGTAAATTAATTTACTAAACAAACGAGCTGCGAAACTAAAACCTGTTGCCGGATGGGGAAGGATGTCGTTGGATATAGGAACGGATGTCGCCGGAGAGAGTGATAGATGGAGATGGAATGAGTTGCGATTTAGGGATTTAGGTTATGAGTTGCTGCTGCTGCGTAGTTATATACCCAAAACATTTGTGTTGCGAAATTAAAACCTGTTGCGAATTCAGAAATCGAGTTGCGAATTTGAAATTCAGTATTGCGATAGCCAGAATATCGTTGCGATTTACAGATTCGCATTGCGATTTAGGAAAATCGCAACACGAATTTGGGAAATCGCAATGCGATAGTCAGAATCGCGTTGCGAATCTGGAAACTGGTTTGCAATACCGGAGATCGCGTTGCGAATTATCGATCGCATTGCGATTTAGTTGGTCATTTTGGTAAATCCAAAAAAAGTTGGTTAAAATCGTATATTATAAGGCATTTTTGGTCATTGAGGTTATTTTCTCTTTAAGAAAAATAAAATTTTAGATTCGAGATCTATGTTTTATAGAGTGTGTGTATTATCAATAGATTAATTTTTTATTTTGTAAATACTATCTTATAATAATTTGATAAATTTAATAATTTTTAAATTTTCTTATAAAAAGTATTTAATTTTTTTATAAATCTAAAATAAATATAAGATATATTTATTTCAAAACTATTAATTATTTAATAATAATATTTATATTCTTGTGTACAAAACTTTAAAGTTAACAACAATATTTTATCTACTTAGGCGAATGAATTGATGTTATTTCACTCAATGGCATGATAATGTAATTTACCAAAAAGAAATATTGGGAGAAATTGGAAGTAAGTAAGAGAAAATCCAGGCCGACGTACGTGTCTTAGAATAAAGGATGTAAGTTTGTACGTGGCGAGCAAAGAAACGCAAGTCCCCACACTCTAAACTCTAACCGGCATTGCCATTGCCATTGCCATTGGCAATGGCAACGGCAACGGCTATGGCGTCCCCTACTTATCTTCCATTCTCCATTTCATAAACTCTGCTCCAGAGTTTAGTGTTTACTGGGTTTTAGGCGTAGCTAAAACTAGTTTTTAGATGGTCAGCGAATAAAGTTGTATATATATATATATATAAACGGGAGGAACTAGGAATGGCAAGCGGCGGCAGCAATGTCGTTTTAGCCTACGAAGATGCGTATACAGATCTTCACCGTCCAGCAGTGATCATTGGAGGATCCTTTGCACTTGCAGCTGTGGTTCTCACTCTCTTTCTCGTTCTCCAACATCTCAGATCATATACAAATCCTGCTGTAAGTAAATTTATCGCTCAAAGCTCACTTTCCTAAAGTGTACGTTACTCGGTACCGTTGATTGTTTGATTTTCCAGGAACAAAAATGGATTGTTGCGATTGTGTTCATTGTTCCTGTCTATGCTACTGAGTCGGTAAGTTTGCCATCTCTTTTTGTATTTGCATAACCGGATTGCTAATCTATACTCTAATTACAGCAAATCTGGTATCCGTTTTCGACATGTCTCGAACGGCTGACCGCCGAGATACTATCATTTTTTCGGATGCTTGAGAGATTCCCTCTTAGATTTTGAGCTTGAGAGATGCACTGTAGGAAGATGATAATACCGAATTGTGCTCGATCACGATGCTGGCAAAACGCGACACACCATGTTCGGATATGCCAGACATTGTGAGCACAACTATCAGTATGCCCCATATATATTTGATTTAGCTACACCGAGTGACACCAAAGTTGCAAAAACAATTCCCTTTCCCGAGTTTGAATTCGGGAGGAGCTTTCGGGACAATAAAACCTTCAAGGGCTTATGGATGTCCAAAGAGGTCCTAAGTTGTAGGGACGGAACTAGGATTGAATATCGGAGTGGTTCAAGTTGTCTAACCAATCCTCTTTTGTTGTGCTCGTTATACCAGCACAAAGTGGTTCAAGGGAAAGGCATAGTATTTTACTTGTCAGCAGGTCATGACATGTTCGGATATTAATTTGAGATATGATTTTTGGTGATATAAAAATAGAGGAGAGGAAATCTAACATACTTGTATCGGATATATCCATATATATCCTATACTCCCTCTAGTAATGCTCCTTTCAAGTGAAAAATAATCGAGAAATTTAGTTATTTCCTCCTTCCTTACTTGGAGGCAATGTGATGTCTCTTTTTCTTCGACTTCTACAGATTATATCGTTGGGGAACCCTCGATTCTCCCTTGCCTGTGACATTTTGAGAAGTTGCTATGAAGCTTTTGCTTTATATTCTTTCGGAAGCTATTTGATTGCTTGTATAGGTAATTAGGCAAGCACCATTTTATTATGATCATATAATATCTTGAACGGAAGGGAAAACATGCTTCAATATTAACTTGATTACTTCACCAAGCGTGCTTCATTTAAGCATAAGAAAGTTTGTATCAGGAGGTGAAAGAAGAGTTATTCAGCTTCTCGAAAACGAATCTATAAAACGGCTGGGTAAGCCATTGCTAGAAAGAGAAGAACAACAAGAAGAAATACATCAGAAGTCATTCAGCAACTTCTTCTTCCGTCCGTCTCTCATTGGAAAAGACCTGCTCACGATAGAAAGATTCGGTCTCGTCCAATATGTAAGGCATGACAATATTTATATGACTATCATTTGATTATGTTTGTGATGATTTCGTTGAATGTGATATCTGCTGGTTAACTCAGATGATTCTGAAGACATTCTGTGCATTTTTAGCACTGTTATTGGAGGTCTTTGGTGTTTACGGCGATGGTGAATTCAAATGGTACTATGGGTATGCACGATAGCCTTTTGTACAATCCCTTATCAAGTGTAAGCAGTCGAATGCCAAATGCGGATTTACAATTCTAAGTCCTTGTACCTCTCTGCTCTCTTGCAGGTACCCATATATAACAGTAGTTATGAACTTCAGTCAAATGTGGGCACTATATTGCCTTGTGCAGTTCTATGATGTAACTCATGAAAGGCTTAGATCTATAAGGCCACTGGCAAAATTTATCAGCTTCAAAGCCATTGTCTTTGCCACTTGGTGGCAAGGAGTAGGCATTGCTCTTCTTTGTGCATATGGGGTTCTGCCCAAAGAAGGGAAAATGCGGACTGCGTTGCAAGACTTTTTGATTTGTATTGAAGTAAGTCGTTTGTGAGGGACATCTCTGTTCGAACTTTTTGCATCTTTGGACAATACCAAGAATGATATATTTGTGGTTGGCAGATGGCAATTGCAGCGGTTGCTCATATATTTGTCTTCTCTGCTGAACCTTACCAATTTCTCCCGGATCCAGAGAACAGAAAGGAAAAGGTTGCCACGGAAACGACCAAAGCAGTAGTGAAGGTAGAACAAAACAATGAGGAAACACCAGCTGTGCTAGAAAAAACAAAAACTCAGGTGGAGGCACCTGGAACAAGCATCAAAGAGAGTGTCCAAGACATAGTTGTCGAAGGTGGTCAGAGGGTAAGTCGTATTCCTTCGATGCTGCATATTAGAAACATTTTCATACTTCGAAAGTCAATGGAAACTGTATCATACACAGGTTGTAGAGGATGTTGTGTTAACTATTAATCAAGCAATAGGACCCGTGGAGAAAGGTGTGACAAAAATCCAGGAGACTTTCCACATGAAAACAGATTCAGATGAAGATCATGTTGAGTCCAAGTTGGATGTCGAGGAACATGTTGAACAGCATCTTCCGGCGGATGCTAGTCGTTCTGAGCCCCATGTCTAAGGATTGCTACTCAAGATAAGTGATAAAATTGCATGTACCATATTTCCAGTTCTGAAATAATCCATATATCACATTCATTCTTCCAAGTTTTCGATTTTACATACTCTGATGCCGCAAATGTGAATATTGGATGCTTCAAACTGAAGTAACATTTCAATTAATATCATTTTACACATTATAAACACCAATATACAACGATGTTTTAATCTCTGGGAATGCGTTTATTAGCCATCTTTGTCTGAGGCACAGTTGTGAGAGCAAAATCGAAGGCAGCCGAAGCAAAAGCCCACAGCAGCATATAGCGGGTTAATATAGTGGCCAAATTGATCATTTTAAGATCTTGGGAAAAGGGTCTACTACCCTTCTTAAGGGCAGAAAAGTGAGCAAAATTGACAGCAGCCAATGCATGCAACAACACCGAGTAGTTGTGTTAATGCAGCGGCACATTGATTACTCATCTTTGAACAGCATTGGATGCAGCACATGCAACAGCAACTTGTAAACAGCCGAGCACAGCAATTTGAAGTTGCCTTGTTAAGGATTTCGACGACTTCCGGTGGAATTTCTTTTTCGGATCCAAATGAATGTTTTCGGTGGTCGCAATCAGATTGCCGAAACCGACTGTAAGTACTTGAAGCAATACCTTTTCAGGCTCTGAAGGCTCCAAAAGTTTAATAGCATCGCCTTTCTTCGATGCCTGTACTCCGATAACCCAATCGTCTTTGTAAGATTAAAAAGAAAAGATATGCCAGCATGACTTGGCGTGGATAATACTGAGGTTTCCTGTTGCTATCCTATTCTCAAGTAATACAACACGGGAATATTCAGAGATATTGCAAGTTCTTATGCTCAAATTGGCAATCCGCCATTTACAAGCCAATAGCATCAGAAACGGTTGTTACTATAGGAGCAAAATGTCAAGAATACTGAGGAACAAACCTGCTCCTCGAGTTGCTCATTTTCCGAAAACCATGCTTGCGCTGTGAGTAGATCGATCTGTTGCCTCGCTATAACCTGCAAGAGAAGAATGAAAACGTATAGAACACTCCGACAGAATATCATTGAAGCTACACAGGCAAAAACATTCAAATTGCAACAGGTACTAGAGGAGTTACTTTGTCAAGAGGTATGCCCTTGGCTTTTTCTATCTTCAAGTCGACGATAAAACTACTCGAATCTCCTAAGATGCCTTTAGCTTTAAGAGTGTCCGGGAAACTGCCTCGGTATCTCCCACAGATTACGAACGGGCTTTCAGATGAAAGATCGGGAATACGTGAAGAGTACACCTACACTGGACATCGGAGAACAAACACTGTGCAGATATGGGTAAAAAGAAAATCTACATTGCAATACTGGGAACATGATGATTGCTAACAAGGTGTAGAGAAAATACGAATACATAAACAACACATTCTCGAACACGGGTATGGAGACATGACCGTCAGAATAAACATAGTCATGTAAGATATATATTCGTATACGACACTCATATCCGAGTCTAGGTAACATATAAATAGAGAATTGGTAACCTTGAGGAAAATGAAATGTCATAGATGAATGCAACTCATAAAGGCCCTCAGACACATACCTCTGTTTGCTCATGATCATGAGCTGCGTCAATGGTTATGTTTGCAAGGACAGTGGATAAACCTTTACAAAATAGGTTTTGCATCCGAGGCTTGATTGAATCTGAAAAAAAGATTAGTAAAATTAATGATATACGACATATTTCCACAGATCGCTTGGTAAGGAGCTTGAAGTCGAAATACGTACAAACATGGATCAAGAGCAGAGCCATATTCTCTCTGGCTAATCATGGACACCATGCGCAGGAAAGGGTGATTGCAGAATGATCCTGCAATATCCTTGAACAAGTTAACTAGAAGCTATGGTGTTCATCTGCAATTAATGCTATGCTTATAGCTGAAAACACAGGATCTAAACAACTGAACTTATTTACCGATGCCAAAAGTATGTATCCGTGGGCAAAATGGCCCTCCATTTTTCAGAACTTTATCCTCTCATCTTCAACGGCCCCATCGGTGACGAGAAAACCATAGGAATCGAACCTTGTGTGTTTTACAGCATATCAACTACCTGACAAAAGTAAGCAAAAGATAATAAGCTGCATTTCCTATTCTCTTGAACCAATACAGGAAACATGATGAAGTTTAATAAAATAACAAATGAAATGTGTAATCACCTTTTGAAGTGGAATAAAGATATTTGTACCAGCCCCCTCACTATGGTCCTTGGCTATCCATTCAGAGGCCCTTTCAGTTTCTTCCTCGGAAGCCGATACCATGGATTTGCTAAATAGGAAAGTCTCATCACAAAAAGCTATGATGTTAAATGAATCTTGTGGACTGAGCTTAGAAAGGGCTGTATTTATTGCATTCTTGGTACTCTCAAACGACTTCCCTTGCATGATGCCACTTATGTCAACAACAAATATGACATCCTTTCTGAATACCTATAAATCCAACAGGCTGAAGATATATACCTGCGAGAATAATCAAATGTAGAAGCCAAGGCAGGAAACAAATGGTAAACCAACCTTTGTATTGCTCTGACTTCCAGGGAAAAGGGCACCTCCGAATATGTTACTGGAAGAAACCTATCAAGATGTAAACAAGATGAGATCGTAAGTATCATCAAAACTCTATTTTAATCAAGACTTGAGGCTGTTTTGTAGTTCTACAAGAAAAGATGGTATGCAAACAAGCCGATCCAAATTCTTACACTATATGATAAACACAAGTCAGTTTCGGACCATGTGAGAACATCTGCTTCATATAAGAAACCAATCTCCCCTCTCTCATGTCTTAATTCCTGAAATATTGAACAATAAATAGAATAAAAGGATGGAAAAAAAGAATATCATTAATTAAGTCCAAAAGAATCAAACACGAGTTAAATGGTCCTTAATCGAATATGCACCTTAAAAGGATGACTAGTTGCCTGGACCATTCCAGTCGCAAAACCAGAGTTCACACTCAATTGTATCTTTTCTTTTCTTGCAATTTTCTTTATTGAAGGATTAACAAACTCACAAAAACTGAAGGGCACAGCCTAAAAAGAAAATTGAGAGGAATGATTATAAGTTTGAGACATTGATGCACCTTTGGTATTGTTATGGTAAATATATGAGGATTCAGAAACTCTCCATCTTCTGGTTTGGCTGTGTTATGAATACCCTTACTTTCTTCTACTCCAATCAGTTGAGAGGAATATGATTTTGTAGGAAGATCAACCTCAACGCCTAGAATTGAACCCTGTTAGCCAAGTAATACATTATCGCTTGCTTGACACCATTAACAAGCACCTTCAAACACTAAATTTAACCAAAAGAACATGTATTTAGCTTGTAGAGAGAACAGAAATCAATACACAAAATCAATTCTTTCCCTTATAGCTATTATCAAGTTGTTGATTAAGTTGTCGCTGTTACCAAGTCCTTGATCAAGAAAATCCACTATTTAAGGCGAGCTTTCCAACAACGTTTTTGGGTCATCAACACCTGTACAGTCATAAGTAATGTTAACCATATAATTTTTGAAGAAAAAATGTTTATCTTTGAAAAGTGTTTTTGGAGTCAAAATTATATTTTAACATTTATTTAATATCTTACGGTAAATTTATATCTAAAATAATCATTTATCTTTTCAAAAACACATTTAAAAATAATATTAAAAATCTTAAATCTTAAACTTAAAAATAATCATATATTTCGTAGTTTGACTAGTATCATTAATGTTATATTATCTAATTGATTGTGAGTTTAAATGTATTTAAACAAATATTAACATTCAATTCAGAGATTTGGGCTCTAACGCATACGAGTGCATATTAGCCTTCAATCTAGAAATTAAAAAGATTATAAATAATTTAAGTATTGTATAGAAAATACTAATTATAATATATATAGATATAGATACATAATTTTTGGAATCTCAAATATAAGGTCTCGATCTTTACCAACTTTGCTAAAGTTGACATTATTTTCTTAAAAACGCTATTTCCAGTACATAAAAAAAGAGCATGTGCTTTTGTTTTAGCCTTTTTAGATGGACTAATAGTATATAAAGGATCAAACCATGCTAATTGAAAGCATGAGAACTAAATCACACATTTAAGAATAGTAGAGGGTCAAAAAATCCGGCTAAACACATTATTTCGTGATTTTTTTTTCTACAACATTATCTCGTCAATTTAGCTAAAAAAAAAACCATATTTTGACAATTGAACAAGGAAGACGGGAGATTGAACGGTGGATACGTGGCGGCTCGAAATTGGGTGGAAAGTCGTTCGTAAAAATTTGTGTCGTGTCTATGCTGGGTTCGTTTTTTCAGTTGAACATATTTGGTCTAATTAAAACATTCATATCTCAACTTTACAAAAAATGAAATTTGTTTTTCTCTATTTTAATTAATTAGAATTTAGCCCTTATATTTTATATAAAAAAAGAAATTAATTTAGTTGTAGTAAAGACATAAACTTGAATTACTGATTTGCGTTAATTTATTGCTAATAATTTGTTGAATTATTGTTTCATAAGATTTGACAGTATCATCCAATTGGACTATGTTTTCAACTTTTACAAAGTACAATAACCAAAAATTGACAAATTAAGGTAGATGGACTTACTTTCTCAATCTAAATAAAGTAAACGGATGAATTTTATAATTACACCAAGAGTACATCTCAAACAAGGGACTACGAATATACGATGGTCTGGCGAAGCAGAATATAGTAAACGCATCTTAAATTCAAACTGGGTAGTTACTTATTTTGGTTATGACCAACTATCAACGGCTATAATTCAATACAATATCTTTTGTCCATCTCTTCTCCAATATCCAACTCTATATCCCCCTTTCGTCCTATTTTTCTATCCGTTGTAAGCATTTGTCTTCCTCGGCGGCAACAGAAGTACCTAGTTTCAGGCTAAATTTACTCCGATGCTTCATCCTGTCAAGATCGGAATGCTTAAGCTCAAAAAGGAAATTGATATACATGACTAAGCTGAAAAAATCTAGAGACTAAGTCTATGAATACGCGAACCATCAAAATTTGTGGTTCTACAACACATATGAGCCTAGGATCGACATGGAAGTCTTGCCACAGAAGATGCGGTAAGAGGATGCCGCCAAGAGTATGTTCAACCGATTATAGGAACATGCAGCAGTTTCGTGTCTCGGGTCATGCTGCAAGGATTTTTCATTTAGTAACGACCATGTTGGATTAAATTTGTGCAAAGAGGATTTCATTCCATGTGTCGGGAACACCGGGCAAACACCAATGCAGGCAGTCTTGGACTCCAGACGCTGATGTAGTAATGAAACGGGATATGTGACCCTCATCTCTCACCTGAGACAAAGCTGTTATGTCCAGAAGCTTAACCCCTGTCCCTCTCACGGCACTGGCAGCGATAGGATCACTAGACTCTTCTTGTAATACTTCTTTATCTATGGACATTGGTCTAGTATTGTTGCAGCTCCCTCCTGTGTTCCAATCCCCATTTACAAAATGCCTAGGGGAGATGCTCCGATAAAAGGCTTTCAGACGAGGATGCTTCGGGAGCTGAAAGTCCAGCCATTTCACAGTATTGTGGATTGTAAAGTTCTTGGCACGTCCCATATCTGCTAACATCCTGTTGGTGTTGGGTGCACCCCCAAGATACATGACCCACCTGTTAGCCCTGAGTTTCCCTCTATTCCAATGGTGTCCCGTGTTGAGAACCAAGACATCAATTTTGTGCATAAACTGGCGCAAAAATGACGGAGGTCGATCAAGATGCATTGCATACTCTGTTTGTGGGTCCTTGACATTAAGAGGTTCTAATTCACAGAGGCCTGAAGACCAATAGTAAAGGACAGTAGTATTGGTGCTGAGAAACCGGTAAGCCCAACCATCAGGACGTACACCACCGGGTGGTATGACAAGTCCATACTCGTTTCCCACATCGAGGACATCTGAACTATCCTTACCAGCTGTTATCATGCACATTAGAGACTGGAACTGCTGCCTACCCAATGAATCTCCAACAAAAGCTAAAGTTTTGTCTTTCATCCTGTAATTGCATAAAAAAATATGTAAATGGTCCAACAAATATTGGTTATATTTAAACAAGTAAATGGAACAACCAGTTGATGCTCATATAAATTCTGACCAAGTGAAACAACACATCTGGAAAGAGAAGAGAGTGTATTTATAAGGATAAAGCCAGAAGCCCAATCAATGAAACCCAAGCGTTAGAACTTCAGAACAATCAAATATCAGTTCTTCACTTCTTCTGATAGGTTAAGTTGGAAGCACCATGTGAAGAGTGATAACATGTTCAAACAGAAAAAAATGAAAATCTATGACAGAGATATAAATACCGTTTTAAGAACTTCGGCCCTTCAAATTCTTCTGTTTCACAATCTTTTGGTTGCCATCTTAGCTTCTCAAATGCAAAATCTTGACGCTGCATCAAACGGCAAGCCCACATTGGTGCTAGCCATTGCTTACAACCAAACCCAGAATACAAAGGCCGTCTATCATCTATAACCCATTTTCCTTTTGCATAATTACAGACTGGAGAAAGTATCAGATAAAATTAAAGTAATCAGCAACATCTCACAATGTGGAACTAACAGATCCAACATCTAAATGTTCAGAGAGAGAGAGAGAGCATAAAAATCATAACCACGGGTAGCTTGCAACCACCAACTACATGACTATGAACTATAAAATCCATACTCCTCATTTTCCCAAAAGGACTCGTGTTCAATGCCTATTTGGACATGACTATGTGGGTATGATCAAATATATAGAAAAACTTATAAAAGATTGAGCATACTCGTGCCTATATATAACCTTACAGTACTGACCCCTTTGCCTGGGTAATGTAGACTAGGAATGTGACAAAATAATGGAAACAAAAATTGATTCAAAGATTGGATGGCATTACATCCATGTAATAGCATGCAAAACCAATGTGTGAGGTTTGAAAAAAGATATCGATAACAAAACAAATAACTCTTGGCTAATATTTTTACTTTCTATCATTTGCTTTAAAAACCTCAATCAACAAAAGATTGGTTCATACACAATAGTATCAATCAAGTTGACGAACGCATATTTTCCTCAACCATAATGTATATATCAACAAAATCAATAGGCAGAATTCCATCTCTGCAATTTCCAGCAAAATCATACAGGATTATAAATGTGGAAAATATGAATAGTTCATATGCTCTAATAATCATTGATGACTTCAAAATAAGACGGATAAGAAGGCAGGAAAACAACTGATCTCCAATTCCGATGAAAATGCTTCATCTAAACAAACAAGTCTGCAAATGTTGATCAAACTCAGAGAGATCTATACACACATCGACATTGGCCATTGGAAGCCTCATAGTTCAGATTGTAGCTAAAAATTATAAACTTGAGTCGGTGAGAATATTGGTATTTCTCAACAAGACCATGATTGAGCATAACAGCTATTCTAAAACAATATCTGCTGCAATATTCACAATTTTGATTTTTTTTTTCTTCAGACAAACAGAAAAGTAGCTTACTTTTTTTGTGAATAGGAACAGTTTCAAAGTCTGAAGAACTTTTGGTGGAATCAATAGTTGTCTTATCCAGATGATGTTCCTCTTTGTTATGTATGAATTCCCTTTGTGTCGATGTAGACATTTCTTCTCTCACATGTCTTTTGGGTTCTAAAGGTACTCTTTTAATATCTGCACCAGATATGACAAGGAAAGTAATTGTGAGCAATACAGTCAAGTATCAAGATTCATTATCATTTGGCAATTCAGCATTAACATATGCTAATAAATTATTGTCTGCTTGAGCAGTACACCAAACAATATACAATCTGTATGCAGATTTTTTTTAGGCTGCCGGTTATTGAAAAGCATCAAGCTTACTAACAGAACACATGGCTATTGGCCTCTATGCAGAAAGTTTCTAGGACTGATAATGCACCTTTTATAATAAAAATAATTTACTCATATAATATAATGCATTAGAAAGAAAAAGAGACAAATAGCTTCATATGGGCTTAGTTGGGCACGCCTGTGAAGCTAGGGAGGGCTGAAATATGAGTAGGGGAAAAAATGCTTTAGCCCCAATAAACAGAGTGAAAAACTAATAAATAGCAGACTGAAGAAATGAGATAGATTCAACGAAACCTGGAGAGAGCAGCAACAAGTGATTTTTAGATGGTAGCGAGGGAGTAAGTACTGGATTTTTGTCGAATGTCCACATAAGAATAGTTGCACCCATAAAAATAATGAGAAGGATAGACAGCTCTTTTGGCCTCCATCTTAATTTGTAAGGCCCTACTTTCATCCTACAAAAACATTAAAAGTAAGACGTCAAAACATCTCTGAAGGCAGAAAGTAATTCACAGAAGAACAGAGCGCAAATGAAGGCAGAAATATCAATGAAAAAGAACAGAAACAAAAAATCAGGTCGATGGGCAGCACTCTCTCGAGTAGTGTAAGACAAAGGTACAAAGAGCATTAAGTTTTGAATGAAAAAGAAATGCACTTCCTGCTTCCAAAACACTTCGCTTGTTTTTACGCTGATTTATCAAGGAAATAATAATGATCAGAGATTCTATTGCTGTCAAGTGCCAACTTACTAAACCATCTGTTACAAGAGCTAGACGATGGAGTTATAAAATTCACAAAATGATAAGCTGATTAAGTTATGAACACAAATGTTTGACATGAAAAGCACGGGAAACATTCTAAACCTGTTGTTTGGGAAGTAACCTCACTCCCTTATCTAATTCAATCACAAACATGCAAAAACCATATGGTGACCAAACTTACACTAAGGAGAGCCATTTGCTGGAAAATCAACAAATCTAAGCCAAACAAGCTTGATTCAATTATCCATCAACAATCTCCATGAATTTTAGTTTAAGCTTATAATCAACATTTAGACTATTATATAACCAAAATTTCCATCGTGCACCGCGTTTCCTTATTCTCTAACCACACTTTTAATTATAAACAATTCGCCTCGTGAACTAAAAGCGAGATTGACAGTCTTTATAGACATTATATAAAATCAATGCCTAATAACTTAAAAAAAAGAAAAGAAAACAAAAACAACAACTTTATCCAAAATCACAATCATCTAAATAATAACACGAAGAAAACGAAATTAAAAGAAATTACAATCTACATTAATGCCGGCAGGATTCTGTTCCAAACTCAAGATCAGACGGCTCTGATCTATCGAAAATGATTTACGGGAAATTGAATTCAAACTTGGGAGAAAATTACCTGGGACGCATCGATATCTGAAGCAAAAACGTTAGCAATTTCCGTGCAACAATGCTTTTTCTTGTTGATGACTAATTAAAGAACGTAGGAAAAAAGTAGTTGGAGTAAGCAAATAAAACAATTTAAAAAATATTGTTTGTGGGTCAATGGAGGAGCGTTTCTTGACAGCATTGTTCTGTGTGAAGACATGGAGACCGTACGGAAAGCGGAGCATTGCTTTGAACGTGGGGAGGGAAGGGGACGGAGCTATTTATATACAAATAAAAGATAATCAAGAAATGGGAGGTCAAGAATGTGATGCAAACGAGGAATATTTTAGAATCAACTTGGAAATTAATTATCATGCTAATTGCATATTTCTATACAATTTTTAAATAAAATTATAAAAAAAATTATTAATTTATGAAATGAATATGCGTTTAGAAAAAAAAGGTGTACATAAATTGTCTTCGACTATACGGTATTCTTTTGAATATTTATACTGTTAAAAATTATAAAATACTCTCCTGATTATAAGACGTTGTTCTGTTAAGTCTATCGACTATTAAAAGTTATAAAATGGTCACACAACTATTCATATGTTTCAAACTTATCATTTTTCGTTAAAAAATGACGATATTCTGAGATAAACGTTAACATGTTAACTGCGATATGATAATCATTTAAGATTTTGGGATTGTCGTAACCGGTTTTTGTCCGGGCACGAGATATTAAAATCGGCGGGGAAATTGATGTTAATAAATAATTTTGAGAATAATTTGTGAGTCGCCATCGACCTTTTGGATTAGGTAGGTCGAATACCTAAAAATTTTCTTTTAAAATAGTTTTTAAGAAAACCATATTTAAAAGATGAACTGATCTGCGTTTTATAACCAAAAATTTGTTCTTTTTAATAATAAAAAGGGATTCGTGGTCGGTTACGTTTAGGGAAGGATTAGCACCCCTACAACGCCCAAAATTGGTACTTATTAATTATATAAATTGTCTCTATTATTAAAAATTTTAAAAATTCAAAATATATTTAATTTATAATCCTATTATTTCAAAAATATTTAAAAATATCGGAAAAGGACTTCTAGTTGCCTTAAGACAGCTCTTTTCTTTGATATTGATAAATATTAATTTAAATTAAATAATATATTTTTTATAATTTTTAATTTTAAAATACCAGAATAGGACATCCAGTTGTATTAAGACTGTCCTTTTCTTCGATATTGAAAAATAAATATTAAAATAATTTATTTAAAATAAATATTTATTTATTATATATATACTTATGACTACATAATAAAAATATTTATAAACAAGTAAAATTAAAATAAAAATACAATTAGAACTATATATTTAAAAGCAATAAAATAAATAAAAATATTTAAAATTATTGACTAAATTATAGTAAATTAAAATTAAAAACCTAATTCAATATTAATCAAAATTATAGGGATTAAACATATCATTTTCCTTATTTATTAATTTGGTGACTAAAATAAAATTATATAAAATTCATATATCAAATTAAAAATATGAACTCAGGATTAAAATATTATTTATTAAAATTAAGGGACTAAATATGTTATTTATCCTAAATATTTATAAATACAGTTAAGGGCTAAAATATAAAAAAATAAAATTTAGAAACCAAATTAAAAGGATTATAAATTTGATTTAGTGACTAAAATGTAAAGTTTACAAGTCAGGATAACTGCGGAAAGGGTTTAACCTTTACCAAATTACACAGGTACCCCTCATCAAAACGGCGTCGTTTTGATGAGGGTATTAATACCCAAACGGCTGGCCTCTCTTGGGCTATTATTTTCATTTGCCTGGTTTTGCTTCTCTCTCTACAGAGAGAGAAGCTCTCATTTTTCTTCACCGGAGAAGAGAACCGGTCTCCGTTTCCGGCGACGATCGCCGCCGCCGGCCACCGTTAACGGTGGCCGGAAATTACAAAACCCATCCTAAATCGAAGCCCGCTTTTTTCTATACCCGAATCTAAGGTTGTTTTAGCTTAAAACCTTACCAATCGTCGTAGATCTAGGATAGTTCTCTTCGATGTTTCGGTTCTCCGGTGGTTCGTAGAGGCTCTTCTTTGGTAAGTTGCTTTCCCGTTTCTTCTTTATTTCTTTTCTTGTTGTTGTCGCGATTGTTTTGCTCTCTTTTGTTTGTTTTCTTTGGTTGTTATCACCTCTGTTTCCTGCTGTGGTGTTTTTGTTTTCCGTTTCTTTCTCCTCTCCTCCTTGTTGCAGGTGTGATCGATGGCTTTTATAGCCATCGATGATGTGGCTCTCGGACTGGTTAGAGGAATGAAGTTTGGTGAGTCACCGAGCTACATGGTGACTCACCATAGAGCTCGACATGTGGAGGGGCAGTTGGCTTCTGGAGGTTTCTGGCGAAGCGGCGACTTCGTGGCGTGGCACTGGCAGCTGGCTGAGACGCCGACGTGGGGCGGCTGGACTGCATCAGGGCCTTTGGGTTGGGCGGCTGGGACTTAGATACAAACTCTAAATGGGTTTAGGGTTACATATTTGGGCTTTTGGGTTGGGCCGGATTTGGCCCGTTTGTAATAATAATTAATAATAATATTAGTAATAATAATAATTAGTAATTATAATTATAATAATAATAATTATAATAATAATAATAATAATAATATTTAAATGAAAAAATGAGTATCTTCAGGGATCATATTTTATTATATCACAATTAGCATGTTAACGTTAAACTCAAATTACCTTTCATTTTTTAACAAAAAAAAGACGAGTTTTGAACATATGAATATTTGGCTGACCATTTTGTAACTTTTAATAGCGGTGGACTCTACAAAACAATGTCCTATAATCAAGAAATCATTTCATAATTTTTAATAGTCGAATGACTCGATAAAATAACATCCTATAGCCGAGACCATATTTTTACTTTATCCTATAAAAATACATTTTTCTTGTCAAATTATCCTTAATTATTATCGTTTACATTTTAAAATTATATTATTACAAAATAATTTTAAGTAAATTACAAATTTCATCAAATCGATAATATTTATACTTTTATTATATAGTATAATAATTTACAAATCCAAAATAAATAGTATTTTTTTTCATTTTCACTTCATTTCGTATTTTTCAAAATTATTTTAATAAATATTAAATAAAAAAATCTGAATATCTAACTAATATCTAATATATATTAAAATTTTAGAAATAAAAATCCATCAAATTCAAATACATAAATTTTATTTAGTTATTTTATTCTAAACCTAATTTTCTTTACATCTATATCTATAATTTATATCCATATATAAAAAATATACTATTTATATATATTAATATATATTTAATAAAATATATCGAATATATATATATATATATATATAATAATAAATTATGTATGTGTAGACACTAATTTCTCACCCATCTCCCTGTTTTTCTGCCGATGACTCCTCACAACCCTTGCACCAGATTTCTCGGCACACTCAACCACCAAGCGGCAACCCCTCGTCAACAACTGAATCCCGGTGATCTCGGGATTGAGTGGAAACAACCCCCCAACTCACCTATAAGTACCTGCAACATGGTAGAACAAGGGGGAAGGCAAGGAATGGTGGTGATGCCATGACAAAACCCACTTAGACAGTTGCAGACAGTTTCCTTACCCGTCGAGGCTGCCGTGGTTGCCACCACTAGCGCCGCTCAGGGCGCTACCATCAGTGCTTTCACGGGTACCCTCACCAACGATGTCTCCTTCTCTCTTTCAACTCCTCGGGCTTCCCTCGACCTTTTATCTCCCAAACCTCATCGACCCCAAAGCGACCACTCCATTCTCTTCTCCCAACGATGAGACCTCAACAACCGTGGTAAGGGTTCGAAGAGATCCCCATCGTGATGGCCAGAGGTTTCAGAGGATCCGAATTTGCTACATGCGTGGAGGTAAGGAACCATTGTTTCGAGGGGCTCGTACGCAGAGTGCTCGGGAGAACCGATCACCAACACTGATGATGGGGATGGCTTGCTTGCCGGATCTGGGACCACCTGTTGTTCATGTCTCGTGCAACTCACACAAGCTAAGGAAAGGAGAAGGCAGAAGCACTCACGCGTAAAATGAATGGGGATGCACAGATTTGGGTTTTGTGGATTTTCCTGGGTAAACTACACTCAAAGCCACTAATGTTTATAGATTTCAACTTTTATAGATTTCAACTTTTATAGATTTTTAACTTTCAGTCTATAAACTTTACTCTGAATTCAATCTAACCCCTAATTTATTTTTATGATTTGATCTAATATTATTATTTAATTATTATTCTATTTTCACTAACATTTTTTTCTTTTCACAGGTTTTTTTTTCGTTCATTTTATTACTTTTAAAATATTAATTTTTTTTCTTTGATTTATTTAGTATTTATTTATTATTTCTTATCTAATATTTTTTGACTTTTTAGGGGAATTTTTTTAATCGATCAAAGGTAATTAATTCAAATTGAATTTCAAATTTTAATTTCAATTTCAATTTTTCGCAACTAAGACAGTCGTTAAATTAATTGGTACCGAAAGGGCGGTGCAAGGGTGCTAATCCTTCCTTGACCGTAACCGACTCCCGAGCCCGACACATTTCTGGTAAAACGCAGATCAGGTAAGATGGTGTCCGATCTACCTAAATATCATTTTAAAATGATCGGTGGCGACTCTAACCCAATCAATTCAAGTTGAAGCCCAATTCCGGGCCCAACCGAAAGACGGTTGCGACAGCTTGGCGACTCTGCTGGGGACAGGTAAGTGAGTCAGGCCAGAATTAACTTTCGGTTGTCTTTTTATGCGAAAATGTTAAATTTTAATTTTAATTTATTTATTTGATTCCAATTATTTATCTTTGATTATTTTGTTTCAAATAAATAGTTGTACTGATGTTTTTTAATGATTTCAGATTTTTTTCAAAATTGTCATCTCTAAGCTCTAAACCCGAGCTCCGAACCCGTTTTAAGTGAGGGTGAAAGCGACGCATTCGTGTGAATTTATTCACCGCATATGCCTAGCAAGTAGCCTTC